TGAAATATGCCACTAGTACTTTCTTGTTTGTTGATATGGCTTTTCGTTTCGCTAAATTGCGGCAGCGTTCATTTCCCAAACGTATAAGTCCCCTGTTAACGGCGGAAGGTATGCTGAAATATGCACTAGTACTTTCTTGTTTGTTGATATGGCTTTTCGTTTCGCTAAATTCGGCAGCGTTCATTTCCAAACGTATAAGTCCCTGTTAACGGCGGAAGGTATGCTGAAATATGCCACTAGTACTTTCTTGTTTGTTGATATGGCTTTTCGTTTCGCTAAATTGCGGCAGCGTTCATTTCTCCAAACGTATAAGTCCCCTGTTAACGGCGGAAGGTATGCTGAAATATGCACTAGTACTTTCTTGTTTGTTGATATGGCTTTTCGTTTCGCTAAATTGCGGCAGCGTTCATTTCTCCAAACGTATAAGTCCCTGTTAACGGCGGAAGGTATGCTGAAATATGCTACTAGTACTTTCTTGTTTGTTGATATGGCTTTTCGTTTCGCTAAATTGCGGCAGCGTTCATTTCTCCAAACGTATAAGTCCCTGTTAACGGCGGAAGGTATGCTGAAATATGCACTAGTACTTTCTTGTTTGTTGATATGGCTTTTCGTTTCGCTAAATTGCGGCAGCGTTCATTTCTCCAAACGTATAAGTCCCCTGTTAACGGCGGAAGGTATGCTGAAATATGCCACTAGTACTTTCTTGTTTGTTGATATGGCTTTTCGTTTCGCTAAATTGCGGCAGCGTTCATTTCTCCAAACGTATAAGTCCCCTGTTAACGGCGGAAGGTATGCTGAAATATGCCTAGTACTTTCTTGTTTGTTGATATGGCTTTTCGTTTCGCTAAATTGCGGCAGCGTTCATTTCTCCAAACGTATAAGTCCCCTGTTAACGGCGGAAGGTATGCTGAAATATGCTACTAGTACTTTCTTGTTTGTTGATATGGCTTTTCGTTTCGCTAAATTGCGGCAGCGTTCATTTCTCCAAACGTATAAAGTCCCCTGTTAACGGCGGAAGGTATGCTGAAATATGCACTAGTACTTTCTTGTTTGTTGATATGGCTTTTCGTTTCGCTAAATTGCGGCAGCGTTTCATTTTTCCAAACGTATAAGTCCCCTGTTAACGGCGGAAGGTATGCTGAAATATGCCACTAGTACTTTCTTGTTTGTTGATATGGCTTTTTCGTTTCGCTAAATTGCGGCAGCGTTCATTTCCCAAACGTATAAGTCCCTGTTAACGGCGGAAGGTATGCTGAAATATGCTACTAGTACTTTCTTGTTTGTTGATATGGCTTTTCGTTTCGCTAAATTGGGCAGCGTTCATTTCCAAACGTATAAGTCCCTGTTAACGGCGGAAGGTATGCTGAAATATGCCACTAGTACTTTCTTGTTTGTTGATATGGCTTTTCGTTTCGCTAAATTGCGGCAGCGTTCATTTCTCCAAACGTATAAGTCCCCTGTTAACGGCGGAAGGTACTGAAATATGCTACTAGTACTTTCTTGTTTGTTGATATGGCTTTCGTTTCGCTAAATTGCGGCAGCGTTCATTTCCAAACGTATAAGTCCCTGTTAACGGCGGAAGGTATGCTGAAATATGCCACTAGTACTTTCTTGTTTGTTGATATGGCTTTTCGTTTCGCTAAATTGCGGCAGCGTTCATTTCCAAACGTATAAGCCCCTGTTAACGGCGGAAGGTATGCTGAAATATGCCACTAGTACTTTCTTGTTTGTTGATATGGCTTTTCGTTTCGCTAAATTGCGGCAGCGTTCATTTCTCCAAACGTATAAGTCCCCTGTTAACGGCGGAAGGTATGCTGAAATATGCTACTAGTACTTTCTTGTTTGTTGATATGGCTTTTCGTTTCGCTAAATTGCGGCAGCGTTCATTTCTCCAAACGTATAAGTCCCCTGTTAACGGCGGAAGGTATGCTGAAATATGCCACTAGTACTTTCTTGTTTGTTGATATGGCTTTTCGTTTCGCTAAATTGCGGCAGCGTTCATTTCTCCAAACGTAAAGTCCCCTGTTAACGGCGGAAGGTATGCTGAAAATGCCACTAGTACTTTCTTGTTTGTTGATATGGCTTTTCGTTTCGCTAAATTGCGGCAGCGTTCATTTTCTCCAAACGTATAAGTCCCCTGTTAACGGCGGAAGGTATGCGAAATATGCCACTAGTACTTTCTTTTGTTGATATGGCTTTCGTTTCGCTAAATTGCGGCAGCGTTCATTTCTCCAAACGTATCAGTCCGCTGTTAACGGCGGAAGGTATGCTGAAATATGCCTAGTACTTTCTTGTTTGTTGAATGGCTTTCGTACGTTTTCGGTAATTACTGTTATGTTTTAACAGGTTATAACGAAAACAGCAAGAAATCTTATGATGAGCGATTGTGGATCATGGCATCACAAAGAAGAGCTGTACAGATTGAAAACTTAAAGTTGCCCATCTCTACGTTAGATCAATAAAAATAGAAATCCCCTATACAGGTTCGAGAGCTCTGATATAATATGCAAGATAGTAATACCTATTTGGTTTGACTTTTCGTTTTGCTAACTGCAACAGCGTGCATTTTTTCGGCAGCGTTCATTTCTCTAACGTTTTTTGGTAGCGTCCATTTTTCAATTAAGATTTTCGCTGCGGTTCTGTTAATTGGGTAAAGATATAGAAAGAAGATTGTAGTCATAATGCATTATTTGCAACAGTACCGTGGTACGTTTTCGCTAATTACTGTTATGTTTTTACAGGTTATAACGAAAACAGTAAGAAATCTTATGATGAGCGATTGTTGATCATGGCATCACAAACAGTGATATCAATAAAAATAGAAATCACCTTATACAGGTTCGAGAGCTCTGACATGACATGCAAGATAGTAATACCTATTTGATTTAGAAAGTGTGTACCGAATCATTCGTTCGACACATTGAACATATTTGTGTACCTCAACACTCACACCTTTACAAATCTCTCTAAGATCTGAACAGTAATCTTTTTACTATCTTGTTAAACCCGAATTATTAACGGAAAATGAAACTAAAATTTACGTCTTTCTATAAATAGCCGTGCTGTCGGTACATCCTCCCCTAAAAATTACAACATTTGATTTTTACAAAACCTTGAAGGTCTGCGAACAAGCTTGCCTTTCATCCACTTTCCGCGATTTGTCTCTTCTCCAACGATTAGAACAATAATTATTAATCCATGTATATATTCCTTCTGTAATCGAGACCATACATGTTCTCTAGCCTTTATTAGTCGTCGTTGAAACTTTGTCAGTTCTTCATCTTCCCCACATGGCCGAGTTTGCGGTCAGCGTTTCCTCATCACCTCCATTACTCTCTACATACGTTAGTTGTCTAATGTTTAAATGTCTTTGGATATCCATTACGACCGCTTCTAGGTGTACAAACGAAAGATGCGACTTTTCTTAGGTTTTGTTCAGCGTCTTCTTTATCTGTAATTATTCTTTCATACATGCCGCCCCACCACGGTGATTTGGCCAAGTTGAACTTCAAGCGAATTTCTTGGGTGGCCAAATGATTCTGTAATTGTTCGCTTTTCCGGATCTTTCGAATCCAATTAGCGGTTATCTTGAACACTGCAGCATTATCTGATATTATCAGTCGGGGTCTTGTTTTCCGCGTAATGAATGAATTCAACTTTCCTCAACTGATTGGGATTGGTCAATTCTAAGTGGACTGCTCTGTTGACTGCACAAGTGGATATTATGATGTACACCTTCGACTCTGTTTTGTCCTTCTTTCGGTAAGCCAATGGACCAGCAAAGTCCACACCTGTCTGCAGGAACGGCCGGATAGCTTGAATTTCTGAACCTCTGTTTTGAAGGTCTTGAACCGGGGAACATGAGAACCGAGGAGCATGCAGGGGGATGGAGGAACTGGGGAGCGTGAGAACTAGGGAATAGAGGAACAGGGAATGGAGGAACTGGGGAAATGGTGGAACTGGGGAGCAGGAGAAATGGGGAATCGGCAGAATCCGTTTCCAGGGGGACGGAGGAACAAGAGAATGAGGGAGGGAACCAGCGATGGGGAGCAGGGGAAAGGGGAATTCCCATGCATTTCTTTTGCTCCCCATGTGTAATATGTAATTAAGGAAAACTACCATTTGGAGAATTCATTTCTGGAGTAGCATGCCATTGGCCCATTGCCAGTCAAGTAGGGCATTTTAGATATTTATTGTAGTACAGGAAGTACCTATGTATTCCAATAAATGTCATGAAAAGGTAATATACATACATAGTATTCAGTATTGCAATGTTTGTATGCCAATTTGAGGTTCATACAGCAGATATCTAGATTTCTTATCAAGTATTTAATAATTATTAAGTGCAAACATTGCTTAATTAATTACCAAGAACATTTATTAATCATAAAATGCACATTGTTGTTTCACTGTAACCACAAATGTTTCTTTCAACAAAACATATTCATCATAATTATGTTTTCCAAAAAGTTTGTTGTCTAAAATCAGTGGAGTAAACCAATCTGAATATACTAGTAATTTTTAAAAAGCTAGGGTTAAATAGTATATAGGGAAAATACTTTCTGATATAATGTTTTCATATAACTAGCTATGGGCCTGAGACTTCCTACCAAGGAATGAGACTCATTAATAATGCTAAGACTTTATAAAATTTTAAGCTTGCCAGGTTGGCATTAAAAACAATAAATATATTTGTAATTAGCATCCTAGATGCAGAGAGCCATGATACTGTATACATGCCTATGATGTGGATAATATATACTAGCAGTTGTTTCTTTTAGGCTCAAGACTGTTATTATTAGTTTAGCTGCTCAATGAGTCCATAGTTCCCTGGTTTCCCATTCCCTGGTTCCCCCATTCCCTGTTTCCCCCATTCCCTGTTTCCCCCATTCCCTGTTTCCCCGCTGACTTTCCCCCTTCACGCATCCTCCCATATCCCCATTCCTCTGTTCCCCCATTCCCGCATTTCCGCATTCCCTATTTTAAAGATACCCATTTTATTTTTGTCAAAAATTTGTCCATCTATTTTTTATCATATAATTTTCATATAATAATCTATAATAATCCAGACTCATGTGGAGAGAAATTGTAACGTATAATTCATCAATACTGGTTTTGAACGTTATAGTTGACGAAAATGCAATTGCTCATTTGACTCATTTTACATATGAACAGAAGTCAAATTGTTTTGTACTTGGTGGACGAAAAAAACAAACTATTCAACCATTACAAACCAACAATGGAAGAAACAAAATCTCTTGCCTTGGATTTCAAGTTATTTTGGATCAGTATTATGGTATATTCTTACCATATTTCGTTGCACAAGATAACAAATCCTGTTATTTATTCTGCCTTGATTCGAACTATGAATGGTTGATGAGATATAAATTCTTACTACCTGACAACAATATGCAACTTTGTGATACAAGTTACTCGATTGAAAACGGACCAACTCTGATCTGGGCAGTGAGAAATGAAATATTCATTTATAGAGCAGAATATTTGGAGAAGCCTGTGGATGATATTTTAAGAGTAGAAATTGATTTAAATTGTGAACTGGCATCCAATGTTGTTTGTGATATATTATGGTGGGACAGTAGTTCTGAGAAAGGCATGGTTGTTGTCAAAGATTGTACAGGAAATGTTATAAACCCATACCTTATTTCATTTGATAACAAGAAGAGAAAAGCAAATGTTACATTTACCAGACAAATCATACCATTAATATATCTAAAAATTACAACATGCACTTTGGCTATTCCTGAATATTTATCAAATGAGGATAAATATTCTTATAGGACATTCATTTCTACTACCCATTGCCAACTTCTGGAATTTTCCAATGGAAAATATGTTAAACATATAAATATTCCATTGACATCATGTCAAAATATTTATATGCTTGAGGTAAATATTTTTTTATATTAAAATTGTGTCAAAACCAACTGAACTTTTTAAAGAAAGAGCAAAGTATATCATATATTTTATTTATATATATAGAGTACTGACTGTGAGCCCATTCTTCTCTGTTGTCAAGAAGACCAGATTTGTGTGGTTAACTGGATCAATTCCAAGATATTCAAAACATACCAAGTGTTCTCAAATGTATTAATTGATGATTTTATTGGATTAGGAACCTCTCAAGCTCTTCTATTTAATGGTAAGAGCATCAATTATCATAAGCATTACAATGAATGAAGAGAGATGGGTCAGGATTGCTAAATTAAGGTCCAACAAATAGTAGGAGAACTGAGACGTAATTTGCACTATTTTGGGAACATTCATTATAGGATTAAAGTATGAAAGTTATGAAACATTTGATAACTTCATACTAACAGACTTTTCTATGATTGATATTAAAAGGCCAAAAGAACTAAATAAGGTTAGTTAATTTTAATTTAAATTGAAGAAGTAAGAATATACTCAGGTCATTCATCTATAGATGTTATATACATATAAATATACAATTAACAATTTTTTGCCATGATAGAAGGAAGATATGTCATCAACATTAGACGAAAGCAGCATTGATAATGTAGTCTGTGCCTTAATAAAAAAAGTACAGGTATTCTATTTTTTGCAAACTGATAAATGAAACATTGGACATTTTAACAACAGTGCTTATGATCTTCTTTCCCACAGGTAACAGAGGCATCTGTTATTCAATGCAAAATGGAGAGATCAGAAAAATACTCGTTTCTCAAAAAACATTGTGAAAGTTTAAATAATATGCTAATAAATGACAGGGCATCACCGGTGTTGCAGGTTTGTTGAGACATAAATTTATTCTATCATATTGTGCTATGTGTAAATTGAGAAAATTGGCCTAAATCCAAGCTCTTTAATACATGTCATGCTAACATTAATTCCATGGAATAATTGTACTGTATTTGTATCTCAGTGCAAATTAGATAGAGCATTAAGAATGTCTCTACCCATTGACTGTGAATATTATCTTTAATACAAGCAACCAATCCATGTGCAGGACATTGTGTAGGCTAGGATGAAAGCCACTTAAAACTCTTGGGTCTTATAGTCTATTCCAACTCATTGAAATGATAATATCTTGGAAAATTTAGATTTTTGGATTGACAGAACTTGTGGTTGGTCAGACCACAGCTTGTGAAGGTAAAGACTCATCAATTGAGATTTTTTAGATCTTAAATTCTAGGGGATTTTAAATTTGTTGCTTTTTTTCAAGATGTAGATGTTCAATATTCTGAGATAGTTGTGAGGTCAAAGTGGCAGGAGATTACAAATTCTAACTGGATTATTGGAGTTGAAGTTGAAAACATTGGACCAAGGTCTGGCAATTAATTGATGCAATTATTCACTTAATTCTACATCATGTTCTCTAAATAAATGCACTAATATGTCTACCTATGGTAGTGGGGTTTGAATAGTTTCAGTTCTTATTTGTTAAAGCAGATGTTGCTGGTTATTCTTGATGAAAGGATGTTGCTGGGTTATTCATAAATTTTTTAAATAAATTTTAAAATGGCAACAAAATCACTTTGTCTTCTCAGAGCAGTCTCCGAAATATCATTATGTGCTGTGAACAAAACAAAAGGTATTCTTACGTCTTCCTCCAAGATACTTCGTTCCGAAGTCAACGAAGTGCAAAGAAGAACGATGGAGAAGGAAATGTTACCCCCGGGTCAGAGAGCAACTGCTGTAACAGTCACTTCTGCACCGAGTTTTTCATTTCAGGAAGCATTGTACTGTCAGCTTAATCTTAACTTGGAAACATGATGAAAATGAATATCTATCTCAGTTTTGTGGCAACATGACTCTCAGAATAGATGATGTAATAAATAGTTCGAACGGAAAGTGTTCTTGCAGCATCTTGCATTGTATCCCTTAAAAACTCAGGTATATGTTTTTCACAATTTACGTTTTTGACAAATATTTGTATTTCTCGCACCTATGAAGCAAGCACATTACGGGCAACAGCAATTAGTTTGTGGCATTTATCGCCAGTTATTTATATACAAATGACTCCGTACAAATGACCCTGCTTGTACCATTTATAATCAGAAGAGGAAACTTTAGTCACCAAGCTTTTAAAACCAAAATGAATTTTCTGGTTTCCATTTATAGATTTTAATGATTCTCTAATCCATACGTGAAAACCCTGGGAACGAGGTTGTGACGTTTTGTCTTTCTTCCAGGTGGTTCTCTCAGTGGAATATTGTGACATCAATAGCGTTGTAGAAAGTCTGAAATCAAACACGGATACGTGTGAACATTTACCATCTGAACCAAAATACCATTTAAGATGCCCTTTAGCCACAACGTGTGTTGCTTGGACCTGTAGTAAGAACTTCGAGGCTCTAATGTTGGATGTCTTTACAAGGTACAGTAAACACAGTTTTAGGCTTTGCTAAAAGTTTTAGCAAAAAGATTTGTATGTATAATCTTCACATTTGTAGAGTATATGATTCTGATTGCAAATGTTATGTTGTATTCATGTACAGCGTTAGTATGTTTGTATGTCTACCACATTTGTATTGTGCGTGTGCAGTATATTGTCCTGTCTTGTTCTGCATATACGCACAATATTTGTATTGTAATGCGTAACCGTTCCATTGGATCAAATTAAACGAAATCCCTGCATTTCTCTCTCGCGAGAAAGCCAATTATGGCAACTATAGATAGCAGTTATAGATAAATTTTCTAATATTCTTATGATCTATTTAGGGACTATAATCAATTGATCTTGTGTCTTCGCCTTTTTCATAAGCAACTTCCAGGAAATATAACATGGAAACCATTAGGGAACCAACTAGCACTCAATATTGCCTTGACATGCATCAGGAATGAAATTAGTTTCTCCATTAATGAACTAAAAACTCTTCTGCAAGCCAAAACAGCTGTTGGACAAGGCAATCACCTCCCTACTGAAGAGTCTAACGAAATATCTGCGAAAAAAAGAAAGATTACTCCAAACTGTAAAACAATCGATTTGAAAATCCATCGGAAAATATTTTCCTATTATTGCGATACAAATAATGCATTTTTGACACTTCTATTTCTCCAGAATACACCTAAATAGGTTATACTACATCGGGTCTAGTAAATTAAAACCAATACTTCTCTACTTCTCTAAGTTACGTGTATATCTATGTGTTTTAAAAATATGAAGATAGTTAAGAATTATATGTGGTCATGTCCAAGTATCAGTGTCCATTATTCAGTTTTAATTCATTTGATGATTTGTCCAAATATAGCGCACTTCAATCTAAAATATAATAAAAATAAATATACCTGCAGTTAGATTATTAATGAATTTTAAAACGAAAGAGATTTGCAATGCAGTAATTCACAAGTAATTGCCATTAGCATAACTTTTAGTACGCAAATTTTAAAATAGGAGCAACCCACAAGGGTTTTTCCACAACGAGTCGCGACTTGTCATATAAAGCCTATGTTCTCCAAATTCCTTCGCCGTAGGATCTCACATTGGTCTTGTAAACTCGTTCTTCTGAATTTTGACAGTTGTAGTGCACGATCATCCTCGCGATAATAACATGGTGATGGTATAAATGAAATCATTCTCATGCATGATCACACACTTAGTTTGTAAATTTTAAACTCACCGTTTTCGCTAAAAGAAGTATCTGATCCGTTGGTCATCAGAAAACATGCGCTTTCCATTTTGTGACGATCGACATCCCAGATGACAGGACTTGTTGTGTATCTCACACACACTGACTCTGCAGTGAACATGTGTTCTGTAATGATGCAATCCACGGAAACGGAAAACCAAGAAACTGAATCTTTTTTGGTGTTGCAACGATTTATGAAATGACACAGTCTTGTCTTTTTTGCAGCTATACAAAAAAGAGACATTTAATAATTAATTCGTTCTTGTACTTTGATATATAATCAGAGAAGCAAAAGTATAGCTGCTATACGACTTGCCGGCCTATTGAATTCAACTTGACCTACCCCCGTTCAATCAAAAGATACTTGTATTCAGCCAAAGAACTTTTTGAGGTCACGTAACATTCATTCAACTTAATTCCAAAAGATGAATTTCGAGAGCTTGAACTTGTTGCATTCAATCCAATTTCAACATACAAACGCTCGTTCAATGATGGATCACCAATCAAAGGTTTACTAAATGACTGATCTTCATAAAGGCCCATTATCAAGGAAATGTTATGATTATCATTGCTGCTGCCGTTGTTTGGTGTGATAGTAAAATCAGCAAGACCAAATGATGAGGATGAGACAAGATAACTTTGAGGATAATTACATTTAAAAGGAAACTGGATTTCTCTGAATCGTGAAATGGTGTTGTTAAATGCTGACAGGCTCTCGACAATTTTGTTGTGAAATGAAACAGTTTTTCCGCCATTCTCTGTCGTCATAGTTGTGCCACATGCAGTCAGTGAAGTAGTGAAAACGTAAGAATATTTCGTCTCTTGAGGTTTGCACGAACTGTCGAGAAGTTGCAGTTGTGAAGCTGATGTAACATTGAAATGTGATTTTAGAATTAATATCTTCATTTCATTTTCACCGCAGCTCAGTTTATCTGTAAATAGATTAGCAGAAGATTGTGGTCGTAAGTGATTGAAATTTTTTACCTCGCGGGACTTTAACATAGACAAGCGCACGAAAATCTTTCATGCGCGCCTTTTTGCATCATCCCACTATTTTCATGCTGATCAATGCAACCCTTGTGGTAACAGACAAATTAAATTTTGTGGCATTAGTATTTATCAAATGTAGTGTGTTAACTTACATCTGGGCAAATTTTTCTGACAAATATAATTGAAGTGATAAGAACATGAGATATCATGCCATTTTCCATCTTCTTCGTCGTAAAAGACAACACAGGGTTCACCCCCACCCCTGCCTGGTTCGCCGGAGCCCCAGTTTGTATAAGAAGGTATTTTTCCATCAAGGGTGTAAAAATGATTTTCCCGTTGTTCTTTCAAGCCGATCCAAGGGCGTCTCAGTTTCTTCTCTTTCGCAACCTGCCATATTGCTTTCTGTTCTTCGTTGTTGATTGGAAGCACCAGATCCCCGCCCATATTACGACATGAAGATTTTGCATTAGACATTGTTGTCTTTGTTTTACTGAAGTAGTAACATGATGAAATTAGGTGAATCCAACCATTCATAGGGCACAAATTTGCCTCGTCAGTTTGACGACCTAAATATTGATGTAAATAAACATTCTATAGTTTGACAGTTTTAATCTAGGTTATTGCGGTGGATAGCGCTGGTACAACCGGCCGCAGGTCTACGCCATGCAGGAACTTTATGTCTAAAAACTTTACAGACTTGCAAATTAAAAATTATGAAATAGAAAATATTTTAATCTAATTCCCGAAGCCTCGAAGGAATTTTTACGAGATTAGTACCAGCCAATCAAACGAAGCTCTTCTCAGCCAGCCAATCTCAGCACGTTTATGGCAATGATGTGGTATGCAAATGTAGTGGTTGAATTTGTCTGGCGACTGGCGAGCTCGAGGTTGACGGCATACACAGGGTGTCTCAAAAAAAAACGCAACCACTTAAATATGCAAGAATATTAATATTGTTCAGGTTTGCACCATAGTTAAGCTAAAATGACTTTTAGCATTTTAAATGGAGGATTAAGTCTTTAAGAGCCATTTTCAATTCCCAGAGGTGCTTATCTATTGCGCTTTAGAGCTGAGACACTGTACAGGGTGTATCAAAAAAAACGCAACCACTTAATATTCTAAAATTCATATTGTTCATAAGCTCAATAGATTTTATGCCCCTGGGATTTTAAAATAGCTTCTAATCGTACAGTTCAACTGCTAATGGTCAAATCAGCTAAACTAATAATGGTGCAGCTAACAACCGAACAGCGAGTTTTTATTGTCGTGCATGATAACTTGAATGCTAAATGTCGACCTTGTAAAATAAATTGTAAATAAAATTTTACTCGTTAAATACTTTCAATTCAGCTCGTTGGTTTACGCACCCGACTTTGTTTACCGACGATTGTGCTGCTAGAATATGATTACAAGCTTTCTCGCATTCCAGGGGCCAAACGTCTTTTGTGTTGTAGAACAAAGAGGATATTCATGAATATTAAGTGGTTGCGTTTTTTTTTATACACCCTGTATTTTATACATTTAGAACGTCTCGCCTAAATCAATAGGCCTTTTTGAAAAAGCATCACTTAAAAGCCTTTTTAAAAGCGAAGGATGGCTGGTGCAGCATCAAATAGCAGGTTAGAGTAATATATATATATATATATATATATATGTATGGTTAATATATCGCTCTTGTCACTTTGTCCCTCAGGCTAACCATAACGGACCGTTCGACCTAAACTAAAATAATTAATTGGTATTTCTGACATACTGTCTGTCAAATATCATTATCACGCCGCATCTAAGAAGAATTAAATACATTCATTGCATGTATTTCACACCATGCATTAGTCCGAAGTGTGCAACATTTCAAATACTTTCAGACAGGAAAATATTCTTTTGAAATTTCTTTTCACTTTTGTCTGGTCTTGACTTTAAGTCATAATCTGGGTCGCAGGAACCACGCGGAGGCAACGGGGGAAGTCGCTCCAAATGCCCTTCGCTTACAGGGGCGAGCTGGGGCAATCTTTCCTCTTCGTGTTGTTGCTAATGTAAAATGAATGTGCCTTTTCTAAAACTCTGTCCCCGCTGCCTGAAAGTGCTCCTGCCGCCTCTGAGTTGACTGGTTTTCACTTGCGACGTCACGAAGAAGAATATAATTAGCATAATTTTATGCAAAGGTGGGTGAACATGCAGCTAGCATCTACGACATGAATTCAAGCATAAGACAGAGTGAATTTCTTGCTTTGTTTTTACATATATATTTCAATCTGAGTTACCTTTGATTGTAATAGCGAGCAGCTATGCCAAAAGCAAAGTGAAAACTAGGCTTGACTAAAACTAGGCTATAACCATGCAGAATTTAGTTTTAATCGTTTTAAAAATTTATATCTACATCGACTATATCCAGGCGTAACTTATTATTACTGATAATTATTAAGGAATAAAGAAAAACTGTATTGGCAAATACTACAAATAGTAAATGACGAATGGTAAAAATCATGATGCTCGCTACAGGAAACATGTTACTTTTCAGTACTATAGTTTCGATGGATTTGCACGAAACCGAACTGTCTTGCCGGTTATAAGATTCAAGCAAACTGCAAAAGCTGAAAGTGAAAAGGTCGACTGAGATAATGATATTTTACCTTTGCCTTTCGCAATACAGGCAAACGTGATCAGAAGAGAAACCACGATAATTTTCATTATGTTTGTCTGGGACACAGCTTCGTTTATCGTATATCACTGACGATTCCAAAGTGACCCAAATTAACGTGTACACTATAGATGCCGGAGTAAGATAAGTGCTGAAACGAATTAATGTTTTGAATATTTAATAAAAAGAACACATCCTTTACGGAAGTTGGCATATAGAAGATTCAATATACTCTATGATTTACTGGTAAATGCATTCTAAGCTCTGTAAATAAAAAAGAACAGTTTTATCAAATCGTTTTTCTAGCACACGTTGCCACGTTGAATTAGTTCAATTGGTTTAAACACTTTCGCATTAATTAACCACGTCCTGTTGATTGTACACATGCATGGGTCTGTCATGGGAATTATCAAATTCCAGCCATATAAGTTCGCAACTAATTTAAATTTCAAAGGTGTCAGGTTTTTTTACTCACCCTGTATAGGAACACAGGAAAAATGTTTTCTATTCTTTTATAATATAACTCGATAAAAAGATGAGATAGTATGCTGGATGTGCATGACTTGAAAAGATGATGGTTTTGCTGTACTGCATGGCAAATCTCTGGCTACGATACTAAGTACTAGTTTAATTTATGTTAATTCAAATATTTGAGGACTATTAAATCTCTGTGGATAAGACTACTGTAAAGGATCGAGTAACCGGGTAACCGGGCTCATGTAAACAGCCTCTTAGCTTGGTATGTTATTTTGAAGTTTATATAATGCTTTATAAAAATATGACGGCTAACAAGAGCAAGTGGCACAAGCATCGAGAAATAACTAAATACGATTTATTATATCTACATACACGTGATTACATTCAATTCAATTAATTTCTCTTACATTCAATTCAAATAGAGTTAATTTTAATTAAATTTCAATATTCAATTTTAAAATGTATACACCTTAAATTAAACTTGCACATTTCTGTATTCAGGCCTGGTGTATTTCAGGAATCAACATTCGCTCAGTTGTAGTAAGTGCACGATCATTTTAGGACAATCTGTCCTGTACCGCTTTCAAGCAATGGATAATGTGCTCTAATGGTTTGAAATTTTCATACTGTGCTCGGGTTATAGCTTTAGTTCTTCATGCAATCAGTTTTTATCAACCGGGAGCAACTTCAGCGTTTTGCCTTCAACGCAAGTTTAGAGAAATGTCTTGGTTTGTAGCAAATGTTAATGCTGAAATTCACAAGCACGGGTGCACATTATGTTTCCATTTTGACAATGCACCTTTTCACTTTTAAGATGCGGTGTATACTTATTCACATTATGAAGACTTCAAATAGTTATTTATAATATATATAGTAGACATTTGTATGCAAATTATTTCATTGTTATTCGAAAAATTTTTCATGGTTGATAAAAGACAGCCCCGAATAAAGGTGGAATGGGTTAACTATGTAGCTATGAAATGTTTTTAACGTTGCATGAATTCTCTTCAAGCTTGTATGTTTCTTCCATATGTTCCATCTGGGGGTCGGTATAGGCGAGGCAATGCCATTACTTGCCAATAATTGAAAGCATAACGTCGTATACCAGCGTTTTTGAAACAATTCTCCCGTCGTGTTCCTTCGCTGCAATATTAAAGAAAACCAGATTCATGGTATGACATACAGAGCTAAGTCAATTTACATTACGCTTTTTCAGTTATTCCTTGTAATATGCAGGAAGAAGTCGAAGAACACAGAACATTGTTTGTTCCTTGTAATATGTAGGAGGAACACAGAACATTGCATGTTTGTTCCTTGTAATTTGTAGGAGGAACAACATGCAGACGCTTGCATGGTCGCAATGTTGAAGTGCATGCAAAATAATGAAACCAGGATCGCTAAATGGCAAATACTAGAACAAAAATGCGTTATATAGTCGCGGATATTTTGCACCCAGTTTTGAAATTTAGCTTTAATCAGCCTTCGCTGAGTTTGTCCAGTGCGATTTGCACTGATGTGTTAATAACTTGAATTGCTAAAACAGTGTAAATCGCAAGGAACACCCTTCCTATATATCTCCACGCAGAGGTAAAAAAATAGACAGAAACAGTTCCATGCACCGTAAGTGCAGAAACTTCGTATTTAACAAATAAATGTTACCCCCGGGTCAGAGAGCAACTGCTGTAACAGTCACTTCTGTGACCGAGTTTTTCATTTCAGAAGCATTGTACTGTCAGCTTAATCTTAACTTGGAAACATGATGAAAATGAATATCTATCTCAGTTTTGTGGCAACATGACTCTCAGAATAGATGATGTAATAAATAGTTCGAACGGAAAGTGTCTCTTCACATTTATAGAGTATATGATTCTGATTGCAAATGTTATGTTGTATTCATGTACAGTGTTAGTATGTAGGTATGTCTACCACATTTGTATCGTGCATGTACAGTATATTGTCCTGTCTTATTCTGTATATATGCACAATATTTGTATTGGAATGCGTAACCGTTCCATTGGATTAAATTAGACGAAATCCCTGCATTTCTCTCTCGCGAGAAAGCCAATTATGGCAACTAGATTTTTAGGTTTTTCGTTAGAATTCATGAAGGGTACAGATAAATTTTCTAATATTCTTATGATCTATTTAGGGACTATAATCAATTGATCTTGTGTCTTCGCCTTTTTCATAAGCAACTTCCAGGAAATATAACATGGAAACCATTAGGGAACCAACTAGCACTCAATGTTGCCTTGACATGCATTAGGAATGAAATTAGTTTCTGCATTAATAAACTAAAAACTCTTCTGCAAGCCCAAACAGCTGTTGGACAAGTCAATAACCTTGCTGCTGAAGAGTCTAACGAAATATCTGCCAAAAGAAGAAAGATTACTCCAAACTGTAAAACAATCTATTTGAAAATCCATCGGAAAATATTTTCCTATTATTGCGATACAAATAATGCATTTTTGACACTTCTATTTCTCCAGAATACACCTAAATAGGTTATACTACATCGGGCTAGTACTTCTCTAAAACCAACACTTCTCTACTCTAAATTACGTGCATATCTATGTGTTTTAAAATTATGAAGAAAGTTAACAATTTTATGTGGTCATGTCCAAGTATCAGTGTCCATTGTTCAGTTTTAATTCATTTGATGATTTGTCCAAATATAGCGCACTCCAATCTAAAATATAATAAAAATAAATATACCTGCAGTTAGATTATTAATGAATTTTAAAACAAAAGAGATTTGCAATGCAGTAATTCACAAGTAATAGCCATTAGCATAACTTTTAGTACACAAGTTTTAAAATAGGAGCAACCCACAAAGGGTTTTTCCACAACGAGTCGCGACTTGTCATATGAAGCCTATGTTCTCCAGATTCCTTCGCAAAAACTTCGCCATAGGATCTCACATTGGTCTTGTAAACTCGTTCTTCTGAATTTTGATAGTTGTAGTGCACGATCATCCTCGCGATAATAACATGGTGATCGTGTAAATGAAATCATTCTCATGCATGATCACAACACACTCAGTTTGTAAATTTTATACTCACTGTGTTCGCTAAAAGAAGTATCTGATCCGTTGGTCATCAGAAAACATGCGCTTTCCATTTTGTGACGATCGACATCCCAAATGACAGGACTTGTTGTGTATCTCACACACACTGACTCTGCAGTGAACATGTGTTCTGTAATGATGCAATCCACGGAAACGGAAAACCAAGAAACTGAATCTTTTTTTGTGTGGCAACGATTTATGAAATGACACAGTCTTGTCTTTTTTGCAGCTATACAAAGAAGAAACAATAAAATAAACCACGAACACCTCATCTAATGAATGGTATTTTCCTCAGATATATAGTCCTATATCAAGTGCCTATCCTAAAAACTCTGCTAGGAAGAGTTTGGAAAAGTCCGTTGAAACTCTCCCGATCTTTTCGTTCTTGTACTTTGATATATAATCAGAGAACCAAAAGTATAGCTGCTATACGAACTAGCCTATTGACTTCAACTTGACCTACCCCCGTTCAATCAAAAGATACTTGTATTCAGCCAAAGAACTTTTTGAGGTCACGTAACATTCATTCAACTTAATTCCAAACGATGAATTTCGAGAGCTTGAACTTGTCGTATTCAATCCAATTTCAACATACAAACGCTCGTTCAATGATGGATCACCAATCAAAGGTTTACTAAATGACTGATCTTCATAAAGGCCCATTATCAAGGAAATGTTATGATTATCATTGCTGCTGCCGTTGTTTGGTGTGATAGTAAAATCAGCAAGACCAAATGATGAGGATGAGACAAGATAACTTTGAGGATAATTACATTTAAAAGGAAACTGGATTTCTTTGGATCGTGAAATGGTGTTGTTAAATGCTGACAGGCTCTCGACAATTTTGTTGTGAAATGAAACAGTTTTTCCGCCATTCTCTGTCGTCATAGTTGTGCCACATGCAGTCAGTGAAGTAGTGAAAAAGTAAGAATATTTCGTCTCTTGAGGTTTGCACGAACTGTCGAGAAGTTGCAGTTGTGAAGCTGATGTAACATTGAAATGTGATTTTAGAATTGATATCTTCATTCTATTTTCACCGCAGCTCAGTTTATCTGTGAATAGATTAGCAGAAGATTGTGGTTGTAAGTGATTGTAATTCTCAGTTACCTCACAGGACTTTCACATAGGCAAGCGCACGAAAATCTTTCATGCGCGCCTTTTTGCATCATCCCAATATTTTCATGCTGATCAATGCAACCCTTGTGGTAACAGACAACTTGGTAATTTTTTGGCATTAATATTTATCAAATGTAGTGTGTTAACTTACATCTGCGCATATTTTTCTGACAAATATAATTGAAGTGATTAGAACATGAAGTATCATGCCATTTTCCATCTTCTTCATAAAAGATAACACAGTGTTCATTTCCACCATTGTCTGGTTGACTGGAGCCCCAGTTTGTATAAGATGGTATTTTTCCATCAAGGGTGTAAAAATGATTTTTCTGTTGTTCTTTCAAGCCGATCCAAAGGTATCTCAATTTCTTCTCTTTTGCAACCTGCCATATTGCTTTATGTTCTTCGTTGTTGATTGGAAGCACCAGATCCCCGCCCATATTACGACATGACGATCTTGCTGTAGACATTGTTGTCTTTGTATTACTGAAGTAGTAACATGATGAAATTAGGTGAATCCAACCATTCATAGGGCACAAATTTGCCTCGTCGGTTTGACGACCTAAAATATTGATGCATAAATAAACGTTCTATTAGTTTGACAGTTTTAATCTAGGTTATAGCGGTGGATAGCGCTGGAACAACCGGCCGCAGGTCAACACCATGCAGGAACTTTATGTCTAAGGGGCTGTTTACATGAGCCCGGTTACCCGAGATTCAACGAAGCGTGAGATGATTTTGAGGTATTGAAATGAGCAGATAACATGATTCTGGTAATCGTATAATCACCACAACAATAGCATGTCCTTGTTTGGTGTCATAAAGACTTAATTCAATACCTCAAAGTCCCTCACGCTTCGTTGAATCTCGGGTAACCGGGCTCATGTAAACAGCCCCTAAAACTTTACAGACTTGCAAATTATATGTAAAATAGAAAATATTTTAATCTAATTCCCGAAGTTTCGCAGGAATTTTTGACGAGATTAGTACCAACCAATCAAACGAAGCTCTTCTCAGCCAGCCAATCTCAGCACGTTTATGGCAATGATGAGGTATGCAAATGAGTGCCGAGAGGCCCAAGACTTTTGCGGTTGAATTTGTCTGGCGAGGTTGACGGCATATATTTTATACATTTAGAACTTCTCGCCAAAATCAATGGACGTTTTTGAAAAAGCATTACTTAAAAGCTCTTTTAAAAGCAAAGGATGGCTGATGCAGCATCAAAGAGCAGGTTAGACTACATGCATGTATGGTTATATGTATATATATGGTTAATATATCGTTCTTGTCACTTTGTCCCTCAGGCTAACCATAACGGACCATTCGACCTAAACTAAAACAATTAATTGGTATTTTTGATATACTTTGAGCCAATTTGTTTTAGAAATATGCATGCTGGAACTTATATTTTTGCATTTTCTTTAAACCGCCGAGTAATTAGACCACGAGGTGAGCATTATATTCATCGCGCCCATTTCGTCTTATCTACAGGGTGTCCCAAAAAAACGAAAACTATTGAAATCACCCATAACAATGTAATTGTTAGAGTTTGAATGCCTAAGCACTCTGTTGGGACCCACAAGTGTATAAATGTTTGCCATAAGCATTTTTATGCATGTATATGATGCAGTAAAATTTGCTCGTACGCGAAAATGATATTTATTAACAATATTTAAATGTGCATCTCAATCACCATGACCTTCCACATGTCCCCTTTCTGTAGCAACACAAAGCATTTAGCATTTTACTGAGTTGCATTAAATCCCCATGGGCTAAAATTCGTGCACACGGCATTCAAATTTTAACAATGAGTGATTTCAATAGTTTTTGTTTTTTTTGGGACACCCTGTATATCTTAGTGTAGAATTTCCTTGTGTCAAATATCATAAGCACGTCGCATTTAAGAAGAACTAAATACATTCTTTGCATGTATTTCACTCGCATGTTGTTGTCCCATTTGAATGCTTCAAGTCCTCAACCTAATAACTATATGCTATTTACACACTACTGTGTTGATCATGCATTCAAATTCCAACAAAAGCTTCATTTCAATCGGGAGGGACACCCTGCATATTTCCTATGCATTAGTCCGAAGTGTGCAACATTTCAAATGCTTTCAGGCAGGAAACTATTCTTTTGAAATTTCTTTTCACTTTTGTCTGGTCTTGGCTTTAAGTCATAATCAGGGTCGCAGGAACCACGCGGAGGCAACGGGGGAAGTCGCTCCAAATCAGCCTCGTTACCGCGGGCTCAGTGCTGTACCGCGAAATACTTCCAAGAGCCTGGGAACGAGGCTGGCTCCAAATGCCTTTCGCTTACAGGGGCGAGCTGGGGCAATCTTTCCTCTTCGTGTTGTTGCTAAAGGCGGATTTCCACTTACAGCGAAATCGTTCACTAGCGAAATATTTGCATATTTTCTTTTGAATTTTAACAGTATAAATAAATTAGTTCGACTTGACTGTTCTCAATTCAAAAGAAAATATGCAAATATTTCGCTAGCGAACGATTTCGCTGTAAGTGGAAATCCGCCTTAATGTAAAATGAATGTGCCTTTTCTAAAACTCTGTCCCCGCCGCCTGAAAGTGCTTCCGCCGCCTCTGAGTTGGCTGGTTTTCACTTACGACGTCACGAAGGAGCATGTACTAGTAATTAGCATAATTTTATGGAAAGGTGGGTGAACATGCAGCTAGCATGCATCTACGACATGAATTCAAGCATAAGACAAAGTGAATTTCTTGCTCGTTTTTTACATATATATTTAAATCTGAGTTACCTTTGATTGTGATAGCATGCAGCTATGCCAAAAGCAAAGTGAAAACTAGGCTTGACTAAAACTAGGCTATAACCATGCAGAATTTAGTTTTAATCGTTTTGACAATTTATATCTATATGGATATCCAGACGTAACTTATTATTACTGATAATAATTAAGGAATAAAGAAAAACGGTATTGACAAATACTACAAATAATAGATAACGAATGGTAAAAATCATGATGCTCACTACAGGAAACATGTTACTTTTTACTGCTGTAGTTTCGATGGATTCGCACGAAACCGAACTGTCTTGTCGGTTATAAGATGTAAGCAAAAGCTGAAAGTGAAAAGGTTGACTGAGATAATGATATTTTACCTTTGCCTTTCGCAATACAGGCAAACGTGATCAGAAGAGAAACCACGGTAATTTTCATTTTGTTTGCTGGAGAAACGGCTTCGTGTATCGTATATCAAGTGACAATTCCAAACTGACACAAATTAACGTGTACACTATAGATGCATAAGATAAGTGCTGAAACGAATTAATTTTTTGAATATTTAATAAAAAGAACACATCCTTTACGGAAGTTGGCATATAGAAGATTCAATTTACTCTATGATTTACTGGCGATAAGAATCTGGCAATTAAAGTGAATTAACATTTAAGAAATAACTGAAATAGAAAACATTTTCCGTGTTTCTATGTACAGTTATAGAAAAACACGTGGGAGTTCGGGAGAACGAGAAATAATCTTTCGAGTTCTCCCAAACTCCCACAAGTGTTTCTACAACTGTACAGGGTGAGTAAAAAAACGCTGACACCTTTGAAATTCAAATTAGCCGCATAGCGGCTGTAATGTGACAGAAGTTGCCTAAAATATCTCATGGGTAAACGAAGCATATCAAATAAATGAACCCCCATTGATTAACCTAAAGGTTAAAACAAAGTTTGTCAGTTCCCTTTGGGAGTTAAAATGCATTCTAAGCTCTGTAAATAAAAAAGAACAGTTTTATCAAATCGTTTTTCTAGCACACGTTGCCACGTTGAATTAGTTCAATTGGTTTAAACACTTTCGCATTAATTAACCACGTCCTGTTGATTGTACACATGCATGGGTCTGTCATGGGAATTATCAAATTCCTGCCATAAGTTCGCAGCTAATTTGAATTTCAAAGGTGTCAGGTTTTGTACTCACCAGTACATGGCTGAAGTTTGACAATTCCCATTGTGCATAATCAACAAGACGTGGTTAATTAATGCGAAAGTGTTTAAACCAATTGATCTAATTCCACGTTCTTTTTTATTACAGAGCTTAGAATGCATTTTAACTCCCAAAGGGAACAAACTTTATGTTCAAGGTTACTTCTTGGGTTCACTTGTTTGATATGCTTCGTATACGGTATACCCATAAGATATTTTAGGAAACTTCTGTCTCATTACAGCCTATTACAGACACATTGCAGCTAATTTGAATTTCAAAGGTGTCAGTTTTTTTTTACTCACCCTGTATAGGAGGAACACAGGAAAAATGTTTTCTATTCTTTTATAATATAATTCGATAAAAAGATGAGATAGTATGCTGGATGTGCATGACTTGAAAAGATGATAGTTTTGCTGTACTGCATGGCAAATCTCTGGCTGCGATACTAAGTACTAGTTTAATTTATGTTAATTAAAATAGTTAAATCTCTGTGGACAAGACTGCTGTAAATGATCGACCCGAAACGTTCCAAAAAGACTTTTTTCTACATTTTAAGGGCTGTTTACATGAGCCCGGTTACCCGAGATTCAAGTATGATTTTGAGGTATTAAAATGAGCAGATAACATGATCTTGGATGCATGTCGTATTACTCGTATAATCACCACAACAATAGCATGTCCTTGTTTGGTGTCATAAAGACTTATTTCAACACCTCAAAGTCCTCTCACGCTTCGTTGAATCTCGGGTAACCGGGCTCATGTAAACAGCCTTTTAGTTTGGTACGTTATTTTGAAGTTTATATAATGCTGTATATAAATATGACGGCAAACAAGAGCAAGTGGCACAAGCATCGAGAAATAACTAAATACGATTTATTATATCTATATACACGTGATTACATTCAATTCAATTCATTTCTCTTACATTTAATTCAAATAGAGTTAATTTTAATTAAATTTTAATATTAAATTGTAAAATTTATACATCTTAAATTAAACCTGCACATTTATGTATTCAGTTCTTGGTGTATTTCAGGAATCAACATTCGCTCAGTTGTAGTAAATGCACGATCATTTTAAGACAATCTGTCCTGTACCGCTTTCAAGCAATGGAAAACGTGCTCTAATGGTTTGAAATTTTCATACTGCGCTCGGGTTATAGCTTTTAATAGTTCTTCATGCAATCAGTTTTTATCAACCGGGAGCAACTTCAGCGTTTTTCGTTCAACGCAAGTTTACAGAAATGTCTTGGTTTGTAGCAAATGTTAATGCTGAAATTCACAAGCACGGGTGCACAATTATGTTTCAATTTTGACAATGCACCTTTTCACTTTTAAGATGCGGTGTATACTTATTCACATTTTGAAGATTTCAAATAATTATTTAAAATATATATAGTAGACATTTGTATGCAAATTATTTCATCGTTATTCGAATAATTTTTCTTGGTTGATAAAAGACAGCCCCGAATAAAGGTGGAATGGGTTAACTATGTAGCTATGAAATGTTTTTAACGTTGCATGAATTCGCTTCAAGCTTGTATGTTTCTTCCATATGTTCCATCTGGGGGTCGGTATAGGCGAGGCAATGCCATTACTTGCCAATAATTGAAAGCATAACGTCGTATACCAGCGTTTTTGAAACAATTCTCCCGTCGTGTTCCTTCACTGCAATATTAAAGAAAACCAGATTCATGGTATGACATACAGAGCTAAGTCAATTTACATCACGCTTTTTCAGTTGTTCCTTGTAATATGCAGGAAGAAGTCGAAGAACACAGAACATTGTTTGTTCCTTGTAATATGTAGGAGGAACACAGAACATTGCATGTTTGTTCCTTGTAATTTGTAGGAGGAACAACATGCAGACGCTTGCATGGTCGCAATGTTGAAGTGCATGCAAAATACTGAAACCAGGATCGCTAAATGGCAAATACTAGAATAAAAATGCGTTATATAGTCGCGGATATTTTGCACCCAGTTTTGAAATTTAGCTTTAATCAGCCTTCGCTGAGTTTGTCCAGTGCGATTTGCACTGATGTGTTAATAACTTGAATTGCTAAAACAGTGTAAATCGCAAGGAACACCCTTCTTATATATCTCCACGCAGAGGTAAAAAAAATAGACAGAAACAGTTCCATGCACCGTAAGTGCAGAAACTTCGTATTAAACAAATAAATGTTACCCCCGGGTCAGAGAGCAACTGCTGTAACAGTCACTTCTGCACCAAGTTTTTCATTCCAGAAGTATTGTACTGTCAGTTTGTACTGTCAGTCTTAACTTGGAAACATGATGAAAATGAATATCTATCTCAGTTTTGTGGCAACATGACTCTCAGAATAGATGATGTAATAAATAGTTCGAACGGAAAGTGTCTTCACATTTATAGAGTATATGATTCTGATTGCAAATGTTATGTTGTATTCATATACAGTGTTAGTATGTAGGTATGTCTACCACATTTGTGTCATGCATGTACAGTATATTGTCCTGTCTTGTTCTGCATATATGCACAATATTTGTATTGGAATGCGTAACCGTTCCATTGGATCAAATTAAACGAAATCCCTGCATTTCTTTCTCGCAAAAAAGCCAATTATGGCAACTAGATTTTTAGGTTTCTCGTTAGAATTCATGAAGGGTACAGATATATTTTCTACTATTCCTATGATCTATTTAGGGACTATAATCAATTGATCTTGTGTCTTCGACTTTTTCATAAGCAACTTCAAGGAAATATAACATGGAAACCATTAGGGAACCAACAAGCACTCAATGTTGCCTTGACATGCATTAGGAATGAAATTAGTTTCTGCATCAATGAACTAAAAACTCTTCTGCAAGCCCAAACAGCTGTTGGACAAGTCAATAACCTTGCTGCTGAAGAGTCTAACGAAATATCTGCCAAAAGAAGAAAGATTACTCCAAACTGTAAAACAATCTATTTGAAAATCCATCGGAAAATATTTTCCTATTATTGCAATACAAATAATGCATTTTTGACACTTCTATTTCTCCAGAATACACCTAAATAGGTTATACTACATCGGGTCTAGTAAATTAAAACGGCTATCTTTAAAACCAGGAACGGGGAATCAAGGAAGGGAACGGGGAAGGGAACGGGGAATGATAAAACAAGGAATGGGAAAAGCCGGAATCTTTAAAACCAGGAATGGGAAAAGCCGGAATCTTTAAAACAAGGAATGAGAAAAGCCGGAATCTTTAAAACCAGGAATGAGAAAAGCCGGAATCTTTAAAACCAGGAATAAGAAAAGCCGGAATCTTTAAAACAAGGAATGGGAAAAGCCGGAATCTTTAAAACCAGGAATAAGAAAAGCCGGAATCTTTAAAACAAGGAATGGGAAAAGCCGGAATCTTTAAAACCAGGAATGGGAAAAGCCGGAATCTTTAAAACCAGGAATGAGAAAAGCCGGAATCTTTAAAACCAGGAATGAGAAAAGCCGGAATCTTTAAAACCAGGAATAAGAAAAGCCGGAATCTTTAAAACAAGGAATGGGAAAAGCCGGAATCTTTAAAACCAGGAATGGGAAAAGCCGGAATCTTTAAAACCAGGAATGAGAAAGCCGGAATCTTTAAAACCAGGAATGAGAAAAGCCGGAATCTTTAAAACCAGGAATGGGAAAAGCCGGAATCTTTAAAACCAGGAATGAGAAAGCCGGAATCTTTAAAACCAAGAATGAGAAAAGCCGGAATCTTACGGCCGGAAGTTTGTAACTAAATTAGCTACAATTTCCGCGCGTAGTACAAAATATGCTAATTTGACATATTTTGCTATATATTATGCTATATTTTCCGTATTTTACCAAATTTCGCAGCCAAACTTAGCATTTCCACTCATTCAAGTACGCTCAATTCTTTTATCTGTTATATGGAACATAAACTGCATTCTTTTGTGGGGGAAGGGATCAAATACATATATAATTATACAAACGATGAAACGAACACAAGGACTGACAATTAAGGTTAGTTTGTAAACAGTTAAATTTGTTGATTTGGTCTCATTCATAAACCTACAAAGTGGAGCTTTGCGCGTTGCTATCTACCGTTTAATATCTACATTGGTTTTGAAATTGAATAATGTTTGGTTGGAAATGAAAACTTTTTGGATCCAAATTTGAATTTCCAAATTTTCATATGAATTGCATACTGCATGATATAAAATATGCAAGAACAACTTCATTAAATACACAATATATTTTATCTTTTCTATATTCAGTACATTGTATTTACAGCTACTTAATATATCAGTATAAATCTATGCGAACAACAATTTTTCTCCATTTAATACATACATATTAAGCTTATTTTGCAATATATATTTGTCATAGTTCATGGTAACAGCTTTTCAATATTGAATCAGATTACCCCTGAACAATGCACTACACTTTTGTTGTCCCAAGTATAACATAATTTTGCTTGTAAGTAAAATTGTATAGAAAATGAAAATATTTTAGTGCATTTTGTACCTTAATTAACTCAAATTATAATTAAACAGTTACCATTCTCACCCAAGGTTTTAATGACTAGAGGCTGATTAAAAATATACAATAATAATCTGTAAGTAAGTAACAGTTGAAATAAATTAAAATCTTGGCTCTTTGAGAACTACTTTGTGTTGGGATGGAATTTTGGAATATATCCTATGGTTGTTTACATACTGTAGAGTAGATTTATATTAAGTAGGAGCAAATACAAGGTACTGGTAATATTCCAAAATTTAACAACATATCTCAATTCTTTTATCTGTTATATGGAACATAAACTGAATTATTTTGTGGAGGAAGGTTATTGATGGAATATATAATAAATACATATATAATTATGCAAACAACAATATTGCTGCACTTAATACATTTTTTTGCACTATATAGTCATAGTTCATAGTAAAAGCTTTTCATATATTGAATCATGCTAGCCTAGAAAACCACAGCTAGGTTTTCCCTACACAACTTCTAAAGCATTTTTATTTGAATAAATTATTTGTAAAAGTAAATGCTGGTTGGCTATACTTTTCTAAACAAGACCTAGGATATATTCCAAAATTCCATCCCAACACAAAGTAGTTCTCAAAGAGCCAAGATTTTAATTTATTTCACTGTTACTTACTTACAGATTATTATTGTATATTTTTAATCAGCCTCTAGTCATTAAAACCTTGGGTGAGAATGGTAACTGTTTAATTTATTTGAGTTAATTAAGGTACAAAATGCACTAAAATATTTTCATTTTCTATACAATTTTACTTACAAGCAAAATTATGTTATACTTGGGACAACAAAAGTGTAGTGCATTGTTCAGGGGTAATCTGATTCAATATTGAAAAGCTGTTACCATGAACTATGACAAATATATATTGCAAAATAAGCTTAATATGTATGTATTAAATGGAGAAAAATTGTTGTTCGCATAGATTTATACTGATATATTAAGTAGCTGTAAATACAATGTACTGAATAGAAAAGATAAATATATTGTGTATTTAATGAAGTTGTTCTTGCATATTTATATCATGCAGTATGCAATTCATATGAAAATTTGGAAATTCAAATTTGGATCCAAAAAGTTTTCATTTCCAACCAAACATTATTCAATTTCAAAACCAATGTAGATATTAAACGGTAGATAGCAACGCGCAAAGCTCCACTTTGTAGGTTTATGAATGAGACCAAATCAACAAATTTAACTGTTTACAAACTAACCTTAATTGTCAGTCCTTGTGTTCGTTTCATCGTTTGTATAATTATATATGTATTTGATCCCTTCCCCCACAAAAGAATGCAGTTTATGTTCCATATAACAGATAAAAGAATTGAGCGTACTTGAATGAGTGGAAATGCTAAGTTTGGCTGCGAAATTTGGTAAGATACGGAAAATATAGCATAATATATAGCAAAATATGTCAAATTAGCATATTTTGTACTACGCGCGGAAATTGTAGCTAATTTAGTTACAAACTTCCGGCCGTAAGATTCCGGCTTTTCTCATTCTTGGTTTTAAAGATTCCGGCTTTTCCCATTCCTGGTTTTAAAGATTCCGGCTTTTCTCATTCCTGGTTTTAAAGATTCCGGCTTTTCCCGTTCCTGGTTTTAAAGATTCCGGCTTTTCTCATTCCTGGTTTTAAAGATTCCGGCTTTTCCCATTCCTGGTTTTAAAGATTCCGGCTTTTCTCATTCCTGGTTTTAAAGATTCCGGCTTTTCTCATTCCTTGTTTTAAAGATTCCGGCTTTTCCCATTCCTTGTTTTATTGTTTTCCCATTCCTTGTTTTAAAGATTCCGCCTTTTCTCATTCTTGGTTTTAAAGATTCCGGCTTTTCCCATTCCTGGTTTTATCATTCCCCGTTCCCTTCCCCGTTCCCTTCCTCGATTCCCCGTTCCTGGTTTTAAAGATAGCCAATTAAAACCAATACTTCTCTACTTCTCTAAATTACGTGCATATCTATGTGTTTTAAAAATATGAAGAAAGTTAACAATTTTATGTGGTCATGTCCAAGTATCAGTGTCCATTGTTCACTTTTAATTCATTTGATGATTTGTCCAAATATAGCGCACTCCAATCTAAAATATAATAAAAATAAATGTACCTGCAGTTAGATTATTAATGAATTTTGAAACAAAAGAGATTTGCAATGCAGTAATTCACAAGTAATAGCCATTAGTATAACTTTTAGTACGCAAATTTTAAAATAGGAGCAACCCACAAAGGGTTTTTCCACAACCAGTCGCGACTTGTCATATGAAGCCTATGTTCTCCAAATTCCTTCGCAAAAACTTCGCCATAGGATCTCACATTGGTCTTGTAAACTCGCTCTTCTGAATTTTGATCGTCGTAGTGCACGATTACCCTCATGCATGATCACACACTCAGTTTGTAAATTTTAAACTCACCGTGTTCGCTAAAAGAAGTATCTGATCCGTTGGTCATCAGAAAACATGCGCTTTCCATTTTGTGACGATCGACATCCCAGATGACAGGACTTGTTGTGTATCTCACACACACTGACTCTGCAGTGAACATGTGTTCTGTAATGATGCAATCCACGGAAACGGAAAACCAAGAAACTGAATCTTTTTTGGTGTTGCAACGATTTATGAAATGACACAGTCTTGTCTTTTTTGCAGCTATACAAAAAAGAGACATATAATAATTAATTCGTTCTTGTACTTTGATATATAATCAGAGAAGCAAAAGTATAGCTGCTATACGACTTGCCGGCCTATTGAATTCAACTTGACCTACCCCCGTTCAATCAAAAGATACTTGTATTCAGCCAAAGAACTTTTTGAGGTCACGTAACATTCATTCAACTTAATTCCAAAAGATGAATTTCGAGAGCTTGAACTTGTCGTATTCAATCCAATTTCAACATACAAACGCCCGTTCAATGATGGATCACCAATCAAAGGTTGACTAAATGACTGATCGTCATAAAGGCCCATTATCAAGGAAATGTTATGATTATCATTGCTGCTGCCGTTGTTTGGTGTGATAGTAAAATCAGCAAGACCAAATGATGAGGATGAGACAAGATAACTTCGAGGATAATTACATTTAAAAGGAAACTGGATTTCTCTGAATCGTGAAATGGTGTTGTTAAATGCTGACAGGCTCTCGACAATTTTGTTGTGAAATGAAACAGTTTTTCCGTCATTCTCTGTCGTCATAGTTGTGCCACATGCAGTCAGTGAAGTAGTAAAAACGTAATCATATTTCGTCTCTTGAGGTTTGCACGAACTGTCGAGAAGTTGCAGTTGTGAAGCTGATGTAACGTTGAAATGTGATTTTAGAATTGATATCTTCATTCTATTTTCACCGCAGCTCAGTTTATCTGTGAATAGATTAGCAGAAGATTATGGTCGTAAGTGATTGTAATTCTCAGTTACCTCACGGGACTTTAACATAGACAAGCGCACGAAAATCTTTCATGCGCGCCTTTTTGCATCATCCCAATATTTTCATGCTGATCAATGCAATCCTTGTAGTAACAGACAACTTGGTAAATTTTGTGGCATTAGTATTCATCAAACGTAGTGTGTTAATTAACTTACATGTGCGCAAATTTTTCTGACAAATATAATTGAAGTGATAAGAACATGAGATATCATGCCATTTTTCATCTTTTTCGTAAAAGACAACACAGGGTTCATTTGCCTTATTGTCTGGTTGACTGGAGCCCCAGTTTGTATAAGAAGGTATTTTTCCATCAAGGGTGTAAAAAATATTTTTCTGTTGTTCTTTCAAGCCGATCCAAGGGCGTCTCAGTTTCTTCTCTTTCGCAACCTGCCATATTGCTTTATGTTCTTCGTTGTTGATTGGAAGCACCAGATCCCCGCCCATATTACGACACGACGATCTTGCATTAGACATTGTTGTCTTTGTTTTACTGAAGTAGTAACATGATGAAATTAGGTGAATCCAACCATTCATAGGGCACAAATTTGCATCGTCGGTTCGACGACCTAAAATATTGATGTAAATAAACATTCCATAGTTTGACAGTTTTAATCTAGGTTATAGCGGTGGATAGCGCTAGTACATCCGGCCGCAGATCAACACCATGCAGGAACTTTTATGTCTAAAGCTTAACAGACATGCAAATTAAAAATGATAAAATAGAAAATATTTTAATCTAATTCCCGAAATCTCAAAGGAATTTTTGACGAGATTAGTACCAGCCAATCAAACGAAGCTCTTCTCAGCCAGCCAATCTCAGCACGTTTATGGCAATGATGAGGTATGCAAATGTACAGTGCCGAGAGGCCCAAGACCTCTGCGGTTGAATTTGTCTGGCGAGGTTGACGGCATATATTTTATACATTTAGAACTTCTCGCCTAAATCAATGGACCTTTTTGAAAAAGCATCACTTAAAAGCCCTTTTAAAAGCAAAGGATGGCTGATGCAGCATCAAAGAGCAGGTTAGACTACATGCATGTATGGTTATATGTATATATATGGTTAATATATCGTTCTTGTCACTTTGTCCCTCAGGCTAACCATAACGGACCATTCGACCTAAACTAAAACAATTAATTGGTATTTCTGACATATTTCGAGCCAATTTGTTTTAGAAATATGCATGCTGGAACTTCTAGTTGCTTTTTCTTTAAACGTAGGGCAAAAATATTACGAAAAAGTACTAAAAACCACCGGGTATTAAGATCATGAAGTGAGCATTATATTCATCGCGCCCAAGGTCGTCTTATTTATATTTTAGTGTTTCTTTTCCTTGTGTCAAATATTATTATCACGCCGCATCTAAGAATAATTAAATACATTCATTGCATGTATTTCACTCGCATGTTGTTGGTCCCATTTGAATGCCTCAACCTAATAACTATGCTATTTACATTTTACACACTACTGTGTTGATCATGCATTCATTCAAATTCCAACAAAAGCTTCATTTCAATCGGGGGACTTTTTTTGGACATTTAGACATTTATTCACATTCACTCGTTTCCACAATAGATTACAAAGATATTTACAATAGTTATAAGTTGAAATAAAACTAAGGTGTTAATCGTGCGCAGTGGCCAATTTCGAGTTGGTCACTGCCTACATTTAATTACTTTTATACATTTAGATCTCCACATAACTGATAAGTAGAAATTACTATTTAATCTATTTACACTTGTGTTTGTGAAATAAGCAAAGATTGACTATATGCTTTCTTAAATAAAGAAATTGATTTGGATTGTTTAATTCTATATTATCGACGGACTCCCAGAGTTTGGGACACCTGTTTGATCGTTTTGACAATTTATATCTATATCAACTATATCCAGACGAAACTTATTATCACTGATAATTATTAAGGAATATAGAAAAACGGTATTGGCAAATACTACAAATAGTAAATGACCAATGGTACAAATCATGATGCTCCGTACAGGAAACATGCTACTTTTCACTACTATAGTTTCGATGGATTTCCACGAAACCGAACAGTCTTGTCGGTTATAAGATTCAAGCAAAAGCTGAAAGTGAAAAGGTTGACTGAGATAATGATATTTTACCTTTGCCTTTCGCAATACAGGCAAACGTGATCAGAAGAAAAACCACGATAATTTTCATTTTCTTTGCCGGAGAAACAGCTTCGTTTATCGTATATCAAGTGACGATTCCAAACTGACACAAATGAACGTGTTGCACTATATATAGATGCATAAGATATTGTGCTGAAACGAATTAATTTTTTTAATCAGTTAATAAAAAGAACACACCCTTTACGGAAGTTGGCATATACAGAAGATTCAATTTACTCTATAATTTACTGGCGACATGAATCTGGCAATTAAAGTGAATTAACATTGAAGAAATAGAAAATATTTTCCGTGTTTCTATACAGTTATAGAAAAACGCATGGGAGTTCGGGAGAACGAAAAATAATTTTTCGAGTTCTCCCAAACCCCACAAGTGTTTCTATAACTGTATAAAAACACAGGAAAAAATGTATTCTATATATAACTCGATAAAAAGATAATATAACTCGATAAAAAAATTTTGTACAGATATTATAATTCGATTCAAATCGTCAAAGTTACCGGAATGACCTGTAGTATTAAGATGAGATAGTATGCTGGATGTTCATGACTTGACAAGATGATGGTTTTGCTGTACTGCATGGCAAAACTCTGGCTACGATACTAAGTACTAGTTTAATTTATTGTATTAAAATTCAAATATTTGACTATTAAATCTCTGTGGATAAGACTGCTGTAAAGGATCGACCCGAAAAGTTTTAAAGACTTTTTTCTACATTTTAGTTTGGTATGTTATTTTGAAGCTTATATAATGCTATATATAAATATGACGGCAAACAAAAGCAAGTGGCACAAGCATCGAGAAAAAACTAAATACGATTTACTATATCTACATACACGTGATTACATTCAATTCAATTCATTTCTCTTACATTCAATTCAAATAGAGTTAATTTTAATTAAATTTTAATATTAAATTGTAAAATTTATACACCTTTGAGGCAAACGCGGAAATTAAACCTGCACATTTATGTATTCAGTTCTTGGTGTATTTCAGGAATCAACATTCGCTCAGTTGTAAATACACGATCATTTTAGGACAATCTTTCCTGCACCGCTTTCAAGCAATGGATAATGTGCTCAAATGGCTTAGAAATGATCGGATTACAGCTTTAGTTCTTCATGCAATCAGTTTTTATCAACCAGGAGTAACTTCAGCGTTTTGCCTTCAACGCGAATTTAGAGAATTGTCTTGGTTTGTGGTAATATTAATGCTGAAATTCACAAACACAAGTGCACCATTCCATTTTGACAATGCACCTTTCACTTTTAAGATGCGGCGTATTATACTTATTCACATTTTGAAGATTTCAAACAATTATTTATAATATAGTAGACATGCATTTGTGTGCAAATTATTTCATTGTTATTCGAATAATTTTTCATGGTTGATAAAAGACAGCCCCGAATAAAGGTGGAATGGGTTAACTATGCAGCTATGAAATGTTTTTAACGTTGCATGAATTCGCTTCAAGCTTGTATGTTTCTTCCATATGTTCCATCTGGGGGTCGGTATAGGCGAGGCAATGCCATTACTTGCCAATAATTGAAAGCATAACGTCGTATACCAGCGTTTTTGAAACAATTCTCCCGTCGTGTTCCTTCACTGCAATATTAAAGAAAACCAGATTCATGGTATGACATACAGGGCTAAGTCAATTTACATTACGCTTTTTTGTTCCTTGTATAATATGCAGGAAGAACACAGAACATTGTTTGTTCCTTGTAATATGTAGGAGGAACACAGAACATTGAATATTTGTTCCTTGTAATATGTAGGAGGAACACAGAGCATTGAATATTTGTTCCTTGTAATATGTAGGAGGAACACAAAACATTGTTCGTCACATGTAGGAGGGGAGTTTAGCTTTTCATCATTTTGTGACTTGAACAATCCTAATATTCCACTTCATTTATTAAAATAGATTACGTAGGGAAAATCGTTGTACTACCGTTTCTATACATCCGGGTAATAATTGTTCAAATGAATTAAAGATTATAATGATGAAAGCATCGTAATTTTTACCTTCGCATAGCATCGATAGCATGATTGAATATTTCGGGTTTAAGATTGTGCTTGCGTTTTAATATCGAGCACTGTTCTAAAGTGATCGACATTGAAGTTCGGTCTTTGGCACTTTTACAGCTGATAAAACGAATACCATTCATTCGCCAGCATATCTAAAAAAGTGCATGTCGTCATCACATAAATAAGAAAGATCGAATAACTGGGGCCACTTGTATAAAAGACTAGTAAACTTTTAACTGTATAGTTAAGGACAGAATTGGCCAAACAGAATCATGAGTAAACAACTCAAGGTGAAAATATGAGTTTTATATCCAACCGCTACAAATATGCATGTTTAAAATTATAAATATGCATGCTGCGGAAATTTTCGACTGCTACATTCCCAAACCTACACATGTTTACCTCTTGTGCCAGAAAGAGGATGTCGACATTCTTGCTTTTCTTGCCAGCAATGTTTGTCCTAAGATGTTCCATTAAAGCATCAAGAGCTGGTTCTCTTGGGCTCATTGCATTAGCTACAATGGAGAACATACATCAAAATTAGAGACAAATGCACACGACTTAGTGTAGGCAAATCCTGGGCGACGTTATAGGGAATTTCGTACTTATAGAGTAAAAAAATTAAATGACTGACATTCGTCGTTCGCGAACACCCATGCATCATGTCTTATTTTAGCCGCAGCGACTGATTCTACCTCTTTCATGAAATATAATAATAATGTTTTTGCACAGTCCCATGTCACAAACCTTCTTCAGGGAAATGTTCTCGGAATTTTTCGTAGTATAAATGTATGTAACTGAAATGTTCATCGTTGATTGCTTCTTGAAGTGAGGTGTCTCCAAACCTTTTTAAATAAATATGCGGTTACGTCACGAAAGAAAAACAGTAAAACTCGTATTGCAGGGCAGTAGCATCAAAAAACACACGAATGCTCTGATCCTACAATCGTGTGCAAAAATTATTGAAACACGGTCATCACACCTAGTATCTACCCCCCTCTCCCCCCAAAACAATGTTTTTTCTATGATACCAAGCCATTTGATTTGCCGAAAATATCACTCTCAACATTGTCAATGGGGGGAGGGGGGAATAGTCAATAGTTTAACGAAATACGTGACAAAATAGTTGTCAAAATGAAAAAAATGTGCTTAAAATACGTAAAGTCTTATAATTTTTGCACATGATTGTATGTAGCTCTAGTTGTACTAGATCTCTTCATCCTTGTGTTCTTTGCTTTTAGCTATATACTTGCTGTAAGATCTTAAGAGTTTTACACCCAGGTTATAACTAATTAACTATTATCAAGCCTGCAATCTTTGAAGATACCACGTATACAAGATAATAAGGTGTTTCAATTTAAAAAACATGCACCCGCTTTAGACGAGGTTACTCTCAGATAGTGATACTCTGTAATTATACAAGATCTTATTTCAATGGTTTTTATCATACATGAATGGGGATATACGGTGTAAATCATTACAGTCACCTTTCAGCTAAAGTCGCATGTTCGTTGATCCCTTGAGTGAAAATAACTGGAGAAACTTGTACTAATTTTCCTTCTTGCAATTCTTTGGGTAAATAACAGAAATATTCTGTTTCGAGGAGTATGGTAACATGAATATTAGCCCTTGAAAAAAGATACACAAATATATGTACTATATGCAACGGTATCCACCTGTTTTATTAACAGGCAAAAAGAAATCGTTATAGGGAGTTTAATAATTAGCATGATACTAAAGGCCCTGTTACACAGTGCAATTTTTCCTGCAACTTGCAATGCAATTCTTCTTTTGAGAGATGTAAATTTGGCAACTACCAAACATGCATGGCCTTAAAGCCGTATGATATCGTGCGCTTGCAATTGTATTATACCTTGTTCCAGTGACGTAGGGAATCGTTTCGTTATCAGAGCAAGCAAACTGAAAAAAAAGATGAAAAGTTCGTGTAAGGAAATATAAAGAAAGATATAAGAGTTAAAGACTTGATCAACACATTGCATAATTAATGACGCTGTTTTCTGGACTAGCTTTCTTGTTATCGCCAAAATAAGCCCATAAGGAATCTTCATTCTTCAACCTCACGTTATCCCCTGTCCCTTTACTGCATCCTAAAGAGCGCTTGTAAATGATCAGTCACATTTATGGTAAAGAACCTTAAATTTGACACAAGAAAGATCGCGTATTGCAATGGACATATCTTCTAACATTCCCATTTCATCACCTAAAAAATAAAAATATTAAAAACGATTTAAGCGTATAACAGACCACAACATGCAGACGCTTGCATGGTCGCAATGTTGAAGTGCACGCAAAATACTGAAACCAGGATCGCTAAATAGCAAATACTAGAACAAAAATGCGTTATATATAGTCGCGGATATTTTGCACCCAGTTTGAAATTTAGCTTTAATCAGCCTTCGCTGAGTTTGTCCAGTGCGAGTTTGCATGTGTTAATAACTTGAATTGCTAAAACAGTGTAAATCGCAAGGAAAACCCTTCCTATATATATCTTCACGCAGAGGTAAAAAAATAGACAGAAACAGTTCCATGCACCGTAAATGCAGAAACTTCGTATTAAACAAATATACGTGCTTGTAAAATGTAAGTGTACTTCAGAAACAATCAGATTTTGCGCGGTCAGCGCTGATATTATTGAAATTCAATGCCAATGAGAGAATTTTCTTCGCACAGAAATTACGACTACACATGCAGTTACGATTAATTTCGGTTACACTCGTACATGTACATTCGCAAGAAAAGAAATAAACATAGATATACTTTCCTTTCTTAATTCTATAACTAACCGTAAGTACTAAGAAGACATTCAAATTCAGCAAGAACACCAATCTCACAAAGTTGTTTCATGAAACTTGCGTCAAATAGTGATGTGTAAATTTTAGCTTCAAATCCACAAATAAGTGCCGTTACCTTAAAACGTTACCATAAAACGGTTTAATTTTATATCACCCTTGATCTACAGGGTGTCTCAAAAAAAACGCAACCACTGAGATATGCAAGAACATTAATAGAGCTCTATAAGGCGCAATAGATAAGCACCTCTGGGAATTGAAAATGGTTCCTAATCCTTCATTTAAAATGATAAAAGTCATTTTAGCTGAACTATGGTGCAAACCCGAACAATATTAATATTCTTGCATACGTAAGTGTTGCGTTTTTTTTTGAGACACCCTGTATATATAAACTCAATAACATAACCTATATATTGCCCACTAGCTGATACAAAATAAAATCAGATCTATACATTGCTTGTCAATTTAGAAATCCCTGACATGACTACTCTCAATCTTTAAGAATAACTGATATATTGCATGTTGATTCCATTAAAGTCATTGAAGATGGCAGGAGGAAACCTGTAGCAGTGTCAATATCGGGGGCCCATTGCATTGACCATTACCAGTCGAAGATTCTTCGCATGACAGAGTTTATACATTAAATAACTTACTGCCTGTGAAAGACAAATATCGCGACGTTGACGGAGGTCTTGCATAGTCTGGGCATGACGCGATTCTTCCTGAATAAAAAAATATTTCCAAAAGTTTATTTAAGAGAAGATGTCGGTATAACCTTTGCCAGGTAATTATATCACTTCATATAACACGACTATAATATACTATACACATGCAAACACAATACAAATATATATGCCACAAAAATATATGGAAATTAGAGACGAAAGATTTTTCTATTATAATGTTAATACGCATTATATCTTATCTCCCTCTGCGTGGGGCTTACAGTAACTTGTGTCGATAACTTTGCTGACCTGAAGTAGAACGAAAATCATTCCCAAATTTAATTTCTTAATAAGAGCGTCAACAAAATAGTAAACATCATCTACTACGGAATCCAAAGTCTTCTCTCCTATCGTTCGCCAACTTTTCTTTGCTAAGTCTAAAATAAAACGTAGTTTATAGCTACTAGCTTACAAAACAACTCACTCAATTCTGTTATGACACTTTGAAAGTAAAGGATTAATTTCGTGAAGCTATACGGAAAACCTACCATTCAAAATTAGCGGACTTTCTTTATTCAACTCGTTAATCATTTTTAGAATCTGCGCCACTGAACCTTCAATAGAATTACGCAGAACCTATCGAAGAGTAATTTACATGAAAAACGTCCGATTTATTCTCTTCCTATATCCAATCAGCCAGTTTATTTGTGCCAAGCCAAGTTATTCAGTTTATTTGCGGTCAGTCTGCATGTTAGTGAATCAAAAATACCTGGCATTCGGGGTCATCGGCATCCTCCGATTCAGGTTGAAAATCATTTAGGCCTAAAGAATATATGAAAATTTATTACTTAAGTTAGGTACTACATTACCACTGCTTGGTCATTCACTGAAAGTGACTTTCTCCCATGCAAGATGACCTCATAAGATTTCTTGAATTCCGCACTTTCAACCCATGCATGCATCTCGCAATCCCGATAGCTATTTCTAGTCTACTCCAATTTGCTTCCGCATTCGCCAAGTTAAGTTGATCCATGCATATACACACAGTTAGGGACATGTGGGATAAAGGTGATATAAAATGTATAGGGTGATAAAAATTATCCCACACATATACCAAAAACGAATTACGAAATCTTATATATAGGAAATACGTTCATTCTACCTTTGTATGTGTATTTCTCACCATATTCTTCACGAGAAGTTGAAGCCGTGGATGGAATTGGACGGGATGTACTCAACGAAACAAGAGAATCGATGATAAACGTCATTTCATAGTATTTTAGAAGATCGTTCACCTACATGAGAAGTTCAAGGTTAAGACACAAAACCATTATTATCGGATCATTACTCAAGTTTTGTTTTATAAAATGGTCGTGTCTCGAGGCGTCTCGCCGTTGTACAAAAGCAGATCAACTTGCCAGGTTCACAAGAAATAACCGAAGAGGTATATTCTTGGTCTTTGGTATAACTCACCTTTTCGTGCAACTTTGTTGAGAGTTCGATGACCTCCTCCAAGTTGTTATTGGCTAAAGCGCTAAAATGATGACAAGCGTAGGACAGCTGATTATATATAAATAATTTGTAGATAAAATATGCTCACAATGAGCATACAAATGATGTAGTATTTGTTTAAACCGCAAATAGGAAGCCACTTGCATGCGAATAGCGGCCCTGTATGTCATAGTTCCATGCCCGATCCTGCAACGGAGGCGCTGGCGCTATGCGTTACTTGGGCAGATAAAAAACCAGCAGTACTTATATCGGGAATCATATTTTATACCTTTTAAAATTTTTACATATATCCTTAAATGCATGTTTCAACAGTTCCAGTTCAACTAAAAAAGTGTACAAAGAAATTTATTTGTTATGAGAATGCAGCATATTATTGAAGATACATGAATTAATGGTAATTAATTAATATTGCGATTGCGTCATGTGTTTGGCTTCGATTTTATCCTTTAACCCTTATTATTAAAAATATCAGTAAAAATCAAAACATAAATAACGGACAATCCCTTACTTCTTTTATTCTTAGCTCGGTTTGCTCTGTTGTCACCTCCACTTTGCCTGAACATAAACCCAAACAGAGAGATGCAGAGAGTGTTATTACGCCAAAATCACAAGATGGTAAGCTAGTCAAAAGATCTTCGCGCATGCGTTATACACACACTACACGTTTTACGAATCGGAAGTAAAGCAAGGTGTTTTTACGTACGTAAAATAAGCTTCTCTCAGGTTTCCTAGAAGTCTTCTCAACCCTCCTTTACTGTACTTCATTGAATGAGCCGATGGAGCCCCAAACGTAACCACATCATAGCCTTGTTCTAAATAAAGACATTGGCGAAAAAAATAAGTGAAACGCTCTTTCGATGATTACATCATTAATACATTTGGTTTTGGGAGTCCTTCTATATTGGATTGAGAGACATAATCACACTCAAACTCATCGAGTCAAAGATCTACATCACGCCGTATCGATTGCATATATATATAAGAGCTTGACTTTCAGTGTCGACCCTTAATCCCTTGTGATTCATGAGAGCGAGGCCCAAATTACGTGATCATCGAAGAAATGCATTAAATGTTGGAATGTTTGTAAAAATATTTTAGGTATACAATATTGCTATAACAGTATATTGCTATCAGGCCGGAATACTGAGCAAAATATAGGAGAAAAAATTAATACCATTCGTCCCATCTATGACTTTAAGTCTTTGCAAATGTAAGTTTGTTGTAACAAACGCCAAGGTCTTGTCCGTCTTCAGGCTGCTTGGTTTAAAATTACGCCAAGATGACACCCCTACATCTTGCCTTTCTGAAAAAATCCAATAAATTCAATACGTCGTAAATTAGGACGAAGAAGAGAATTTTCAACTATCAGGAGTGAATGGGAAGCGAGCGTTACACGCTTTCGTTTGCCCGTCAGTTACGCCTGGATTTTCTCCGCTACTCAGCAAGGAGCTCTCTACAGGTCATGTTCAACATCGCATGGTGAACACGTAATGGATGTGATATTGTGACATTACACTGATGACAGCATGTGGACAGAGTTGCAAAAAAGCTGCGGGTACGCGGGTACCACCCGGAGGAAGGTTTGCTTTGAATGAGGTTTGTGAGGAAGGTTAAAAGTTGAGCACTCTCATTGATCACATGCATGTACCAAAAAAACAAATATTTGTTTATGCTGGTTGCCACTTGACTCACGGCATGACGTAACGTCATTTTGAGCTAGGAAGGTTTTCAAAACTTGAAATCCTACCGGAGGAAGGTTGAACTCTTTTTGCAACTCTGCATGTGGAATAGGTAATTGGGGGTGGTAGCTACATGTGACCAACATTGTATGCATGGTCATTCCTCAACATTTATTAAAATGGCAATATGACAAAAGAATATGAAATTTAAAAGTAAGTGTTTCTATTATTACTGCAAGTGATCAAATTTTCGCACCTCTCAAATTATTCAGATGACGAAATGATGCAGTATAATTACTGACTAATTTAAAATGGTTGTCGAGAATTTCCTGACGCACATTGTCCCAATCCGAGTTTAACTATGAATTGAAATTTAAAACATCAACGTTAAGAGCGAAGATAACCTGATAAATCATAAAAAATTGCTTATATTATAGGTACTCCAGACCCTACAGTTTCGTGTTTTACTAAAACTACCAGACATTTCGAAAATTTAAATTTTCCCGACTGAAAGGGTTTTAAAAAACACATTTATATATTTTGAAATAGGGAAATTTCATTTTGAGCGAACCATGCAATTTGTACCAAATAATCATGAAAACTTGTAATGAATAATCATGTTAATATTGACAAGAGGGCTCAGAAAAACTTCATGACAGATACTGGACTTTGCCGCGCAATTATAATATATATAGATCAGACTATCCGCGCATCCTATGAAGAAAACCTGTCGGGTTAGCGGCAGAAATTAGATTTCAAACATAAGACCAGTGAAATGAATATAACAGTTATTTATTACAGTTCACTGCATGAGACACATAAGCATGGGTCAAAATTGAGCCCGCCATGCATGCAATTAATGAAAATAACCACACTGCTAACTGTGGGAAAATACAAGTTGTCGATATGGCACTTACGTCGCCAAGATTATTTAAGTCTAAAATCTTTTGCTTTTCTTCAGATATGAAAACCTTCCTGTAAGAGGCAATAAGAGATTATGATCGCTGTTCACGATTGCACAATTCTTTTAATCATTGCATTATTAACTATAAGCAGTGCAGTTTCATGCATTAAAAAGTTAGTCAATTCTTTCACATTTCGTCATGAAGTTGCATGCGTGTGTGATAGCCCTATAATGCAACGTAGAATAGATGTGGATATGTATAAGATAGACATGTGGAGTATTATTAGTGGCTAAACCTCCTCCCGATAATTAGTTAAGCTGCTCAGTTCGCGCAATAAGGGAAAATATTAAATTTGTTTTACATTTTACGTTTTAAAAAAGGTTTATTTATATTGTTATTATATCGGCTCATCAATGAGTATAGTAAATTTACGTTTGTTTTTTTGTATATTTATGGTAATTTTGTATTTTGTATATTTATGGCATTCATAGTAATGTTTTTATGAGACAAAAGAGGAGAAAGATTTCATCATTTGAAATACAAATAACACTCGCAGTAAGGTTTTACAAGATAGACTCTTGAAGAACACCTGCGATCATATGCCTGGGCTAGTCAAGTATAGTCAAGAATGGAAATGGGCTCCATGGAGTTGATAAATTGTATCGTCTATCGATCTATAAAGAAGGTTAAAAGAGATATTACGTAGCAATAGGCCGGGATAGTTTTAGTTTAACAATATTGCCTTTCAGCCCCTCAGAGCAATGCCGAACATAACAGGATGTCTCTTTCTTTATTTGCAAATTTATAATCCGTGTAAACAATGGTACGTAAACGCAATAAATCCGCTTATTCAGCTCAACGTTCATGCATCTCTTGGCAAATGAGTAATTAGTATTAATATAATAACAATATTAATACAAACATGCGGGTCGATTAAATATCAACAAAATATCCAGATAGGACATTTATTTTAGCCTGTTATTGAACATTTTTCTTGTATGTTCACTGGAGCTGAGTTCCCCATTCTCGTAAAAATTTTGCATATATGTTTGACTGATGGTCTTTGTTTGATGTGTGAAAAACAAGACACTCCACTTCGTGAGAAGGCTCCTCAAATACCTTCATATAATGAGGCTTCATTAATCATATACTTAATCCTAAACAATTCATATTGTTTAGAAATTATGATCTTTTTCATGAGCAATATCACAAAGCAGTATTACACAATAGTTGAAACCAGCGTACACACTCAGGATTCCGTTCAAATTTTGCTGATGTAACGGCATTTATTCCTACATACGTCATCAGTCGCGTAGGCATCCAAATGTCGCAGAAATAGGGGACAACAGGAAAGATGAAACGGAAATATTATTTGTAATTAAAATGAAGTGAACTCACGGAGGTGATATTGGCATGTACAAAAGGTCCATATATACCTCGTGTATATAAGAATAGAAAAAGGTGCAGGGGTTTAGTTGACCAAAGATCTAGAGTTGGACAATGGCAGCCTTTCGCTCCAAAACTCTTCTGTTCGCTTTGCTGACAGTTGTTCTATTGGCTTGCACCCGTGGTGAGAGTTATGACTTCAAAGACGAAGCAGAAGGTTTACCATCGGAAAACGAATGGTCGAATATTGACGAAGAGTACCAAGAAGATCATATACGAGTGACACCAAGTTTGATTCAACCATCACGGACAGCAGTAGGCGTTCAGCAAACTCCAACACCACGAGCAACGCCTACTTTGGGCTTTAGCACAACACGAAGGCTCAGGTTTCGAAGGTTCAGATCAAGACGAGCAACGTCAAGAAGAATAACAAGACCACCAAGACCCACAAGAAGGCCAAGACCCACAAGAAGGTCAAGACCTACTTTCCGGCCGAGTGTGAGTTATGCGATGTTATTATAAGCCATGCAGTTAGACTGTTAGAGTTAAATCTCTCGTAAACATTATTTGTGCATGCTTTCAACGATAGCCTTATTTATCGCCTATAATGGCGAATAACCCTAAGTATCTTCTATATTTTCATATTAAATACTATATGCAATCATTGCAATGCATGCTTGTGTCTTTAATAAACAAAAAATAACCCAAAAATATTTTAATCTTCTTTCAGGTTTGTCCATTTGACTGTGGTCTAACGTGCGTGGTTCCTAGGCGAACGATCTTCCAGCAAAGTTATGTTTGTGTTTTGCCAATCTATAATGGTTGTCAACGGTGCTGCGCAACATATGCTTCATGTCGTAGATCAAATATTCCTCAATGGATATGTTACCAACGGGCATTGGATTGTGTTTGTGATAACAGATCACGTTACAGAAATATCAGATGCTATGGGCGTAGATGTATCGGGAAATTATTAGGCTAAATATCTTTTGAACTGCGTGCATACATAACTAATATTCATGCATTTATATAGTCACTGGGAACTTCTAGAATTCTTTTTGCAATGAATGATAAAGTGTTAAAATAATAAACATGCATAAAAACAAAAGTGTTTTTTGTCTTGGTAATTATTCATTTAGAGCAATTTGGGATACCTTAGACTTAGCTAGTCCGAACTTATACGGACACATCCAGGCCGAATAGTGAAAAGTTTCAATACGACACAAGGGAGCAGGCCAAGCAAAGTTTATGCACTCCTCAAAATAATATCCGCCATATTTGCAAGGCAATTACTAATATCCATGTCTCGCTAGTGTTGTTTATAAATTAAAATACAATACAACTCATTTCTCACAACAACTTCGTTCCTTTCTCATCACGTGTCTATTGTATTTTAGCAAAATTTACCAATGGCATTCGTCTTGCTAAGCTCCTCAACCTTGACTTGAAAAATATGTTAATTATAAGATTGCTATTAGTTTATCTGAACAAAATACAATAGACATGTGATGAGAAAGGAACATTTTTTGCACAAATCTACCTCAACATAGTTAATGAGTTGTATTGCAGTTTTATGTCGTCTCCTCATTCTTAACTATTTCCTAGTTTGCCTCCGCGTAAAAGCCATTGAATGCAGCTTACTTTTTCATCCATAACAATAAAATTCATAAAATATTGCTACAATGCCATATTGCCATATAGCTAATGTCATGCATAATTAAAAACTTCAACAAAACCGCCATTACCGGCCCTGCAAAGTCGACTGCAATGAAATCAGAGAGACACGTCGTAAGGCATATAGGAGCCCTGCTGCATGCATATATTCTGTGGTTTTGAGTAGGTAAAGTCCGTATAGAGATTCATATTGTGTATCAAACAACAAGAAAGCATGAAAATCACGATCACTAAATTAACGAATAAATTTCGTGGTTTAGGGCAGGCCATATGTTAACATTACCATTGCCACAAGTATATCTAATACAGATTATACAGTTATAATAATGACTGCATGCAATGGAAACAATGATAATCAGAATGGTAATAATGACTTTTAGTTATTTGCGTTCTTGAAAGGTATTATTTCATCATCTTCGGACGCCTAAGACGTTCAAAGTCACATTTACAGACAGTGATATAGATATAGTGTAGAGAAAGGTCTTTATGATGCAGCAGACATCCCCTACTCTATAAGAAAACTTGAAAATAAGGAGCGGATGCTTACGGCGGCTAATAAAAAAACGTTTTGACGCACAGGAAATGACATTTTTACATTGCCCTTTACCGATTATGATTGTTTTCTTCCTGACAACCAGGAAAGCCAATGCTTAAAATATAGTGACATGCAAAACATCAAAATCGCATACACTTCAGTAATGGTTTGTTTCAATAAAGATATTCATTATATTACTTGGATCTATGAAATGCTTTACAAAAGGCAAAGAAAGGGATGCTTTTTAAATACGACCTCGCAATTGAAAAAGCTTCTTTATACGCTGTTTCATTCCAGTGAAGATTAAGACTTTGTTGAGTTTTTTCGAGACGTTGCATGTGTATAATAATAAGGCATGCATTCTGCCAACAGACACTCTTTAAATAAGTTTGAAAGTCCGGCACATGAAATGAAAAAGGAAGACGGTAACCTAAAGCATCTTTGTAATGAAATAGGTATCATGGGCGTTGACAATCATGGCCCGAAGGGCGAAGTCTCATATAAAAGTTGAAATAGTGTATAGTTGTAATACCAGCTGCTCTGGGGATTAAGGCAATGGCATTATACCACAAGATTCACTCGAAAAGTATTCTGTTCGCGTTATTGCTAATTTTCTTGCTGCCATGTACATATGGTGAGAATTATGATGTTTTCGAAGACGAAGCTGAAATAGCATCAGATAACAAACTAATCGATATATCATCAGAAAACGAAGGTGACGAGCCATCAGAAAACAATTTTTTAAGAATAGGAGATGTGTACCGAGCAGATTTTGGACCATGGCGAGTGACACCAACACCCAGAATTGATGTCAACCTCATTTCAAAATCAATAGCTGCTAGAGCACAGATTTCTTCAACGAAATCAAGGCAAATAAAGGCAACACCATCAGAGGTCTTCCCGACCGTTCAACAAACACCAACACGACAAACACCAACACCACCACGACAAACAACGCGTTTTGTCTTCCGCACAACCCGACGTATCAAACAATATCGCACTACCAGGCGACCATGGAGTTTTACATCAAGACGACCTCGAAGCACATCCAGACCACAAAGTGTAAGACAATAAAAATGATACTATTATATTGTGGGAAATAAATTTTTCGTGCAACGATCGCGTTTTTCCAAGTCACATATCATTTTCATGTGTGACTGCAATGAAGAAGTGCACTGTTTTTGAATCCATTTTAAAATCATTAAAAATATTTTTTAGTTACAGATCTATCAGCTGATGTTGTCGTGGAAACAGTCCCGCTAAATAACCCTAACGCTAATATACGACTCAAGAACTTGCTATGACTCAGTAACTTGTAGAAACATCCGTGCATGCATGCATGGTTTAAACATATTATCAATAAAAATATGCGCATACCTCATCAATAGAAATAAAATACGAATAAGTATATTTTTTCTTACTGTTTCTACCTTATACTTCTATACTTTCTTTTTCTCGTATCAATTTCTGAAGTTTGATCTCCGACGCATATTATATGATTCAGATTGTAAACTTGAAATTATATCGCGGTATATAAGCATTTGCAAAAAGGTAAACATTTTAACGTATTATATAGTCGGTAAACTATAGGTAACGACATTTTAGTTCAAGACGAAAACTAATCATTTTACTAAATGAAATATCGTATTTTACTCATGACTTACAGTAATTGTTGAGGAATTCTGAACGTCAGAAAGCTTTCGCCCATCATATCCACAAACTTCACCTCTGTACCCAAGCTAAAAAGTATCGAATTGACTTTTCAACCCATTATGATGACGCGATCTTTCGTTGCAGAAAAACCACATGCAATACTTACATTGTAGGAAATCTAAATGATCTTTGTAACATATTGTCGAATTTTGGTCTAAATAGAAGATAAAAAAACACCAATAATAACCGGGCGTCACTCTCCTTGATCTATCTTCCTAAGGCACCCTATAACACAACTGCTTCAAACGATTATCGTTTACGCACTTGTTTATTGAGCCGCATCTTGGTCTGAACGTTCCATCAGTGTCCGCCTGAAAATAGGTGAAAAATCTTGTTTCAAAGATTAAAAAAATACAATCATTAATATACTTGACTAATCTTTCAAGGATGCATAATACAATCTATTTACAATAACTTTATATACCTACCAAAGTATCTTGAACAGTTTCAACCTAAAATACATGCATTAGTATGACATTTTTGTTGTAGTTAATTAGAAAGATTTCTCAGTTAAAAGAAAGAAAGATCTTTTGATCTTTGATCTTTAGATCTATATTTTGATAAAAATTATTTTACCTTCCAGCCTAATAATGTTATTGTCCCTGAGGCCGTTGGAGAGTCCAAGCCACTAAAACAGACAACATTTCGAAATTGTCATGACATTTTGAAACTGTTGACCGCGGAAACATGTAAAGGGTCCGAAAAAAGAAACATGCATGTTGTATAAAGGGTACACTTGTTTGAATTTATATATCATCCAATATTTATTCTCTGCTTCTCGGAAAGCATAATGATGAACTCACGTAAGAGAAAGTTGAATTTTCTGATTCGTGGAATCCAATATATCCTTGATTGTACAAACTGCCTGACCCAAATGAGTCATCTAAAAAATTCATCTCACTTGAAGAACGAGGACCCTGACGTTTTGTGCAATAAGACGATTTGTCTTGAAGTTAAAAAATTACATACACATTATATTTAGTGAACTACTTGCCTCTTCTTTATCTCGGTCGCGAACATCAAAGACAGCAAGTTTTAGTCTTGTTACCTCACTGTAATTTCCACCAGAAGGTATGCTTATAGTCGTCAAGAAATATGGGTGACGTTTTTGCTAAAACACAAGAAAATCCAACATGCACGCACAGAAAATTGGACAAAAACAGTATTGGAATAAAAATCGCCTCAACAGGTCCTGATCATGCTGTAATACCTCTATTATTTCAGTCTGTGCAAGTCTGGACCAAGTTGCTCCAGGAGGGGTCATAGTACTAACAACTATAACTGCATTTGGATATTTATTCTCCACAGTTGGTTTTAGATCATTGCAAGCTGTGTAATAAATTGACAATATTTATAGCTTTACTTAACATATTGTTCAGAATGAGTTTTTCAAAATTCTATATATGCTAGAAAGTTATAATTTACATGAACATTACCCATGCTTATTTCCAGCAACGGAGGTTTGTGAAGCGGTTTTGGTGGTTTTGGAGGCTAAAATTGCACGAAAAAAATTGATAAATTCCGCCGCAAACACGTGAGAGCAACTTCCCGTGAGGCTGCCACTATATGTGCACTATATGTGTTTTCTCATCGACGGAAAGTTTTTCCGCTAACTAGAGCTGGCGCGGGCGTATGAATCGATAATGCCGACCAGGTTGTTCACTTAGTGAAGCATTAAGAGGCCGGTGGTTAACCTGGTACCTCAGAGTATCAAAGATGGGCACAGGTATATACTTACGTAAACAAATGCTTACCTCGCTGTCGTTATCATCACGAAATGGATGGTTATGCGGTAACGGGTGCTAAAATTAACAAGGGCAGTTTGCAATCCAACGGATATATGCATAATAACTAGCTGTGGATGGACTTGACTTCCCATCCCACAGTTCATGCCCATGCCCAACACGATATTGTTTATAATATTGTTTACCTCACCAGTCATCTCGGTAATCTGTTCACATAGTTTTTGTAATTTTTCTTTGAGCTTTTCGTAGCTGCAAGAATCAATCATCATTATATATACTGCATAGTCATGTAAGCTACGGTTCAATGAAAACTTAAATGCTCGTTTACACTTGCGATTTTTGCTGCGATTTTATGTGTGATTTTTTTCTTTTGATAGATGTGAACGAGTAATTAGTTACGAATGCTCTGGTAAATAAAAGCTCTTATTTGAACATCAGTAACTTATTCACTCGTTTACATCTATCAAAAGACAAAATCGCATATAGCCTTAACACTAACCTTGCATTTTTTATATGTTTATTCCAGTCGTTATACTCAGCTTCGGAATTCGCCGCAAAATGGTAATGCTGTCCTTCGTCTTGTCTGTCGAACACTAGAAAATAGTAAGCCTCCAAAAATAAGAGCCGCTGTTCCTTATAATTAAAATAAATTATTAGTGATGTAAGCAACGTGATGAGACTGATGCAGTTCACCTCCAGGCCCTTCTTAAGGCAACTATAGCTATTACAAGAATCCCCTAGAGTTCGTCTTGCCCACGTTGGTCATGATAACGATCTATCACCAAGGAGCAAGGACTGGGGGTCAGTGTGCTCTTTCGCAAGTTAGCAACCATTTAAGGGGGGCTTTATACAGTGTCAGTAATTGACATTTTTAATATTCGATGATGAATTTTATCCACCTTTAACAGTATACACACTATACCGAATTAAGTATACCATGCATTTACACTTCATATAAACAGAATGCTGGAGGTAGTAAAAGTTCGTGGATATAAAGGGCTATACATAATTTTCATTTCGAAGCCCCGCCCAAAAATGCTCATGAAAATATCGTGATGAGGGAATTCAACTAATCAAAAGTTAACTCGTTTGTTAAACGTGACACGGTGCGACTTATTAATTACTGAATGAGGTCAAACATGATATGAAAAATAATCAATTTCAACGTTTAGTCTATAATTATTTGACGAACAGATCGTTAGTTTAATGAGGCTATGTGTTCGTTGTTGCATTGTGCATGTGCATGACGAGATTTGGCGACGGCCTCAATCACATGGTAGTGAAACGTAGCGCAAAACGTTTGTTTCCTGGGCACTTGGTTCGAACTGATAGGATAGGAACTGATGATAAATAAAAAAATGGCTTTTGCATCGTCGTTTGGAGTTAAAAAAATATCGTATTTTGCATATCTGTTTATCCTTTTCTTCTCCTGAAAGCCTGGTCTGTCATGACGGCAGGCCGGCATTACGATGAAAACAGAATATCACATTTTCACAAATTTTACTGATAAGAATGTGAACACATGCATTTATTCAACAAAACGAAGCTCGTCAATGGCGCGACATGATGGCGGCTACCTCAAGTCACGTGGACGAGTTTGTAATCTCAAAAGTACACATTTTTTCTTGAAATGCAAATTTGTGACTTGAGGAAAAACTAGTAATATCTTGATTAATTATATTCGACCCATCAATATATAGCCAATTCTTAAAACTTAAAAGCTTGAAAAAATGTAATGGGAATAGCTACGTGAAATCCATATTATAGAAGTAGTGATGTTTCAAAGACAGCCGGAGAGACATGTATAGATGGCATTTCCATATCAATATTGTCATATTTGCCAAGGGTCATTACGTCTTTATCTCATTTTTCTATTTAACCATCTGGCACTTAGTCTTAGATGATAGGCCAAATAAAACAAAAATTATTCCAGGCTATCAAAAGTCAGTTTAAGCAATTATAGAGCTCTTGAAATGAAGAAACATGACGCGAAACGAAACATCTACAACACCAACTGCAGAATTTGAAAAATATTTTGAATATTGCGTTTGGGAGAATTTAGAGTTGTTACTTGTCACTGGTTTTCATTGTCGGCCATGCTATATCAACCATGTCGTCTGTTTAACTTACAATTTCATACAAACGCTCTTGATAATAGTTCTCAACTATCTGGCTATCCATGCGTTTTGGAAATCGCCGCAGTTAAAACGGAAAACTTCGTTTTTCGTTGTAATGGTTTTATCTTCAAACGACTTAGCAGCTGGACTCATCGCAGAACCGCTATTTTTGCTACATCTGAGCAGGGAAATACGTGGAAATGAAAGATGTTTAAATGTCATGATGAGTCACCTAGCAATTGAAATACTTGTGTCTGCATCAGTTGTCACATTTTTGGCCCTAAATTTTGAAATATATTTGTCAGTCATACATCCAGTTTTTCATAGAGAAAAAGTAACGAATAGACGTATTTTCAAAATCGTTTTAATCCTTTGGTTTGTCCATTCGTTACGAGCCTACTTTTTTATACATTTCATCGATCAAGGAACAGTGAAAGTAATACAAACCGTATTTATAACACTAACTATGCTAGCAATGGTTTTTATGCATACAAGAATTTTTTTGGCAGTATATAACAGACGTAGGATTGATGTTATCACTGGTCTTGCAAACATTAAACGTCGAAAGGCTTTCCTGCAAGGAATACGCGATGCTAAAACATGCTTTTTTGTTTTGTTTTGTACATTCAGTTGCTATCTGCCTTCTGCCATTGAGGTTAGCTTGACGCCAAAAGCAACGTTTAAAGCAATCATCTTAAGTTCTTGGAGTACGACACTCATTTTCTCATTATCAGTTCTTAATTCCATCTTGTTCTATTGGCGCAATAAGTTATTGCGGAAAGAAGCATTGCGTTGTCTTCGAATAAAATTTTCACACTGAGATTTAAAATACAAAGTAGTATACTCATGTAAGATATTTTGAACGTAGCATTTTAACCTATTCATATTTTCAATGTAATAATATTATGTAATGATATTTGAAATATTGGTGACAACGCGGGTCACATCAGCAAGACGAATCAAGGTCATTAATTAACCACTAATAATATGCAATATTCATTCTCTTCTTTCAAAATATATTTATGAGAATATAAGAGTTCTGTATAACTATCATTAACTTGCAAACCGTTTGCAACACAGGTCGCAAGTTGGCAGTTTGATTTTTTGTGTAAATATCAATTGCATGATTTGGGAGTGACTTGATCTTTTATACAATGCCTGATTTTTAAACAACTTATCTTATTAGGAAATACTCTTACATTGCATTCGAGTAATGCAATGTAATAGGTTTAAAAATTGTGAAAAATCTCACCAGAAACATATAGAAAACCTCATTTACATTGTCTGCTTCAAAATTTCCTCTGAAGCCACCCAAGATAAGACGGCTTAATCTCCTCCAAAAATACCTTGTGAATGCCATCAAGGCTATGATAGGAAATATTGTTACAGGATTGGGCCCCCTAACAAAAAAATTGACCCTGGCCCCAAAAATCTTCTGTGTGGCCCTGAATGAAAACAATCAATTGGTGGTATACCTAGAGTAAATGCATATTTCCTGCTAGAGTTTACATCTTTATTGATATTGCATCTCTCTAAAACCAACAAACCAGCAAGTTCAGAGGTCTAAAAACATAGTATAAAACATTGAATGTAATTTGAACAATTTACTTACTGTACCATGAACAATCACATAATCATAAAATTTTGCTTTGGTTATAGCAAATATTCAAGTTGATTATCAATTGCATACATAGTGAAAGGAGTTACATAAAGAGGCAATTATATATTCATAACAGATCAGTGTCAGTACCTTTTCACTTCCTTTACAATAAAATAAAAGATTTCCTTTTAATCTACACCATCTTTCTGTATATGCTGTTAAAAAAACATTCAGTATACTGTGAGACTGGTACTCACATCTCATTTCAGACTTACTGCTAATTACTTCAGTCATTGCGTTGTGTAAATATTATACACAAAATACACAATGTACTATGATAAGACCATTCTGTGAAACTTGGCAGTTCAAGATTAGTGTCCAGTTCGATGTTTAGGGTCCCTGGGGAACGATGTTGATCCTGACCACTTGCGTCTAATATGACCTAGTATTTGCCTGTTAATTAACTTTGCATCAAATTTGGTATAACAACTGCCTAGGTTTTTTGGCTATTGTAGGAAGTTGTTCTATCAAAATTGATATGAAGTTATTTGAGTATGCTGCGATGCTGCTCCATGGTTATAATGGGGGCTAATGAAGGCATTAGCCTATCAATAAGACATTAATTATTTCATCCTATAAATACTGTATATACAGTATATTGTGACTTTCTTATGTCATGCATTTTCAGTCAAATCCAGAATGCACCTAACCGCCCTCAAGCAAAATGCAGGTCTTCTGTATGCTAACTTAATACACATTTGTACACTCAACACCTGTGGTAACTTTGCTAAGTGTCAATACTCAATATATATTAAAGCAAGTCAAACAAGGTACTGGTAATAGTGAAGGAGTGCCAAAAGGGTAAATGCTTATGGTGCTCAGAGGGGTCTGTCTGCTGATTTTCCTCTCCTAATTGTATGAGATATATCAGTTAAACAGTATTGTCACATTATCAAGAGTCAAGGAAGCGGAGCTAGAGCCAGTCAGCCAGTCTTGCCAACTTGGTGGATATTATATCGAATAATATTATATAGTATAGCAATTCAGATATAGACAAACTATAAAAAGAACAAGCTGTTTCCTGGAACAACACTTACACTCAGTTCGCTTCAAAAAAAAACCATCTCTTTCTTTCAACCACAATAAACCTTGAAGATCAAAAGTTTCAGCTGGTTGGAGAGCGATAAACGCTAATTCCTTTTGATTAAACCTCATATTAATAACACAGCCATATAACAGTTTTTTTATTATATTTCTAGTTTATTTAAAACATATTGATATTGCTATGGTTCAACAGACATATTTAATGCAAATTTACGTATTTTATATATATATATATAAAAACAGGAAGTTTATATTGTCCACCAATTGTTGTCATCACCATAAAAAAACCATCGTTCAAACGGCGGAAGGAGTTTTGTTTATACTTGTAGGTGATGTTAGCCCTTAGCTTTGCTCTCTTTGTATAACGTGCCTGAAAAACCTCGAAAAACTGTTGAAATCACTTATTGTTAAAGTTTGTAACTAAGCCCTGTTCATTTTGGCGGTTGGAGTCACTGGTTGGAGTTTGATGCAAGTCATGCAACTTATAAAATGCTAAATTTATACGGATATATTCTTAGCGTAATGGGTAATACGGAATTTGGGAGGAAATCTAAGGAATTTCGTCGCATCCAGAAATCCAAGTGAGAAATCCAGACGACGGTAATCGAAGACTGGAAGTATGGCTGCTCCACCAACTCGTGATCGAACGGGTACTTTGAGATCAAATCCCGCATTTCAAGGCGATAGTATTCTTTTTCATGGATCTAAAATCCCAACAGAAGTTCGAAAAATGGTACCATACCTTACTAGCCTAAAGGTGGAAAAGTTCAAGAAGCTTTTAGAAGGTATATTTTGTTATCACCTTTGGTGATCTCATAATTTTCATAATTTATCCAGTATTCCAGTATTCTTTCTTCTATATACAAATTTTCATATCAATTTTGCACGATAGTGACAGTGTTGTAAGTCTGGGTACAACAATCCAGTTTGGAATGAAAGAGCTTGGTGTGCTTAGACCTCAACCTGTCTTAATTGTGCGAAGTTGATCTTGTGCACAGCATCACATATACCCATCACTATAAAAAATGAGAAAAAACACCAGCACCCTGAAATCACTGGACTTACCCCCAAATACATTGTAAAATGTGCACACACCCTGCATACCTATATGTTTCTAATTTCCATAAGTTTAGCGGCACATAAATGTACCCAAGACGATCGTTGGAAATAGCAAGCCCAACATTAACCCATATCAGTTCCATTATGGTTGAAAAGATGCCTTCCACAAAATATGTGATGTCATATACAGTATATCATCTTCAGTTGGCTATCCAAGATTATATCTTTTACCATATTATTCTCACTTGCAGTATATATAAGCAAATTGATAATTGTTTAAATACCATGTCAATTTATTTTATTTAGTAGTCCAACATTCTCTTGAAAATTATGAAGTTGATCAGGACATACTGTGTAGTTTGAGAGATAAAAATATTTCTGAGGGTTCTGTTCTACAAATATTTTCTGGATTACATAAAATCATGAAAGCAACATTAAGACTGACACTAACATCAATAAAGCAAGAAACCTATAAAGCTGAATTATTATCCTACAAGTAAGCTTTTGAAATGTGCACATTGAATTTTAATAATCTATACATGAGTTGTAACTCTCTTTTAGTCGACTTATCTATTTTAATGTTCATTTTGTACTACATATTTGTGAATATTTTTTAGAATTCCTGAAAACTTTGTTAATGAAATCATTGTGAATGTATTCAAGAGGTAGGCTGAATAATGAGGGTTGGCTCTAAAGTGCTGATTCAATACAGCAAAACCTTTTCTTTGCATTACCACATGACCCAAATCCTATTATATTTTGGTGTTCAATTGACAGTTCCAACTAGTCCATATAATTTTAATATATCATTCATGCATACATGCATTGCTAACTTGAAAAGAGTTCCCAAAATGACCTGGCAGCTCATTTATAACTTTCATTGTTAATTTTTTTCTACATTGGTTCTAAAGTATAAAATGTGCAGTGAGTCTTTTCGAACTGGAAAGGAATGTACATTTCATATATCACTTTTTTCCTCTAGCCATACTAGGGTTGAAACTGGTGTATTAAGCAATAGGATAAGATTGCCAGGGCTGCAATCTTTGAAATGGAGAGTAGATGTGACAATATCGACCAGGTATAAAACCCTGACCTCCTAGTTTACTGACCAAAGTTGGGAAAGTCAAGTGTCTCAAACTATTATTAATTAAATAGCTCACTTAATCGAGTGCTGGTGCCAACAGTCTTTATGGAGGTGAAAACAAGTGATGGCAGTATAAAATCGTTTGAGGTGGGAAATTAATTTTTCTACAACCAATGTTGTAGGATTAAACTTGTAAGGTTGAAATCAGTTCTCCAATGGTTATCATGAAATGCATGCATATCACTGTAATCTAACTCCAGAATGTCATAATACACTTGCTTTGTCTTTAGGTCTCCCTGTCAAAATTTAATGAACTGGAGTATGATGTAGCTTACCTGTTGAAAGAAATGGAAGACTTAGAAAAACGTAATATTTTAAAAATCGAAGATTAGGAATGGTTTCGTCCATGCTTCGTTCGCCTTTGTAATGGAAATAATTTTATCAATATGTAATGCTATAATACATGGGTTGTAATCAAAACCTTCGCAGGCAAGGAAAATACTATTTCGTGTGTGGTCACTGTGGAAACAGCACCATTAATTAATAATTTTTAATTACACAATGTATATTATAATAAGTACGTTGCGAATTTCTAATTAGAATTAGAACCTTTGGAGTACAACCCAAAAGGATTTATGAGAGGTGTTAATCGAACATTTTGAACGTTGTAAATTTTATCTTGCAATATGACGACAGGAATTCGTGTTGTTAACGCGCTAGAGGTTGGGACAGATATAGGTAAATGTTTTATTGAGCTTTGCATCGGAGATATTACAGCTTTGCCGAAACAGGACGAAGTTGATGTTCTTGTTTTATCGGCGTTTCCAGGTAACTATGTATGTCCACTTTGCCAGATTTTTGCTAGTTCAAACAATCTTGTAGTTCTTAAAGTACGGGGTTAATCGATTGCAGGGTAACTAAAATAGAAAAATAGACTTGTTAATTTTTAACTTTGCTTGTCGGCCGTCTCAACAGTCAACAACCTTGGGGTTTCGTATGGATAATTCCGACGTTTTAATGAATTTGCTAGTGAAATTGAGGGAATTGTTCACCTTTGTAGCAGACTAGTGGTGCGTTTTTGACAGTGTATTTATATTAAATAGGGCCAAAGTGACAGCACAAGATTATAAACAATATTTGCTGGCCTGTCATGATATTTACTTTGTGGCTTTACTCGCGCGTAGCTTAAATTTTAATTTGAAACATGATAATGAAGCACGAATCCTGACTATTTATGTAAGAACATATTGAGAAAACGTTCAAGACTGAGGGTAAAAATTATTTTATCAGGTCCTATCATGGATGATAAAAACACTATTAGTATGTTTTTATTATCCATGGTCATATTCATCAATCAAATTGCATACCACGCATACTTCAATAAATAGTTGTAAAGTTGCTATTGAGAAAGAATTAAATTGCTTTTTTTTTCAGTAATTTGAGATTAATTTCCCTACCCCACCCTTGATATCCCATCCTAATTTATGAATTCTCCTACCCTATACCCTTGATACGGAATGTATCTACCCACTAAACCATCATAGAAAAACCCTAGAAATAAGGTACATGTAGTATGTACATTGCACCACACAAAGATACAATATAGGCATTAGGTAGGCTGCAAAAATAATCTCTCCCTTCATTAATTGCATTGCTTTTGTACACAAGCAGTGTATAGTGCAGTATGCTTTATGCTTACCAAGTCGATCTGATGTAATCTATTAATCAAATCATTATTGCTAGTTGATGACCTGGTAATATGCAAAAAATCATATATACCTTTAATTGCACTTCTGTTAAAGTTATGTGTAACATTTTTCAATATGAGGCATCAGATTTCTTTATTGTGCCAACAATCCATCCTTGTTTGGCAGCCTTGTAACTTCAATATGTCTCTGCAAGCATACTCAGTTGGGGGGCAATGTGTTGAAAACTTTCTATCAATCTATTGTAAGTAAGAATTTAACAATCAAGGCCCAGTTTGGTGTTCTATGAGTGTCAATTGAGACTATATTCTCTATTCATCAGCTGCTTGAAAATAAGGATGATGACTGCCTTCTGAAAATTCCCCAGATTTCCACCACCAAGAGTTTTGCAAGATTGGGTTGCAGTTATGCAGTTAAAATCATGAACAGCTTGTGTGTGGCTGAGTAGGCGAGAATTAGAGTAAATGCTTCACCTTTTATTTAGGGAGGTTCCCCAATCCTGTTGGGAATAGTTGTAATGTATTATTAGCCCGATGTTTGGCACCATCCCATCTCCTAGCTGGGCTAGTGAAACATAACACAAAACTTAAAACGCACTAAACCAAATGGTCATTTTAATTCTGTCGACTGTCATGTGTTCCTAAAAGATATCTATTTCATCATCTAGTTTTCTGTTAATGCGACGACGATATCAGTTCAGGCTCGCCTATTTATGATAACATCATGCAGCTGCATTGTCGTCAGGAGACGTCAGTCACCTGCTTTGAATCAAGCGTCCTAAACTACCGTACTGGGGCCGGATTTTTCTATCGCTCTAAAATCGTCCGTTGATCGTTTTTGGCTGAAACTTTGATTATATCTTAGTATTCCTAAATTGAGGATCCTCTTTAATAATTGTTGCTTCCAAAGCTAGAATTTTATTGCTTTTCAAACATTTTTAGGAACTGGTTGAAATGAATCACTACCCGGTGGATAGCGCTATCCAGCCTCCGTACAACCGACCCCTGGATATTAGTCCTCATACAACTGACCAGTTTACTCTCTGATTTCCTGTATTCTCCGGCTAAATTACTAGGCGATTGAAATATAAACAAACTGGAAAAACAGCAGATTTAATTTATCAGTCAGAGTGATCTAATTTATGATTACCTTGCCCTTGGGTAGGAAACCAAGGCGATCGAGGGGGATAAAAAAGGATTTCATCAACTAGGGCCATAGGCATAGGCCAATAAGCCCATATAATGGCGTTTAACATTATTTCAGGTGATTACAGTCCTACACCAAGTTCTCTGATTGGACAGTTGTTTTTAAGATTGGGGATAAGTGTAAAACAACTGGCCAAAGACAAAGAAGAAGATTTAAGAAAGCTCTACTCTTGTTGGTGGTCCAAACCTTTGCCAGATCATCTCAGTTTTAGAAAAATACTGTGTTTTGAAGGAGGGTAAGAGTAAGGCCTTGATTGTAATTATGAAAGGTACAAAAATTGGGGTCAATTTCATCATCGATTGTTTCATCGTGTGTAGGCGTAACATCTCCAGAAGTGTCGGTCAAGTTGTTGGAGATGTATTCAGATGTTTGGTTCCAATTTTATCTAATAATGAAGGAAAAGTTATTATGCCGATTCTCGCGTCAGGAGACCAGGTTGTGTATGATTATTATAAGTTATGGAAACGAGGCGTATTCGCTCTTAATTAGACTACAATCGTCGAATTATTTATAAACAACACTTTGAGTGGGACAAAGTCCAATGCTGTGTACGTAAAAATGCAGTTACCCACACCCAACCTCAATTATAGCCTTGCCCTCCCCCCACTGATGACTGATCGATGTTGAGAAGAAAAAGTTGATCAAATGTTCAGACTTCGCCAGACTACATTTAAATCTAGGATGAATGGAGGGAGAATTATAACGACATAAGAATAATCTCGAGTTTTGGACACAATGCCATGGATGTGTTAATTCCAAATCTCTTTTTCAGCGTAAGTCCAAGACAAAGATGCTCAAGCTTCTCGTGGATGCTGCTGTACATTGGATGAAAGCCGGCTTACCTTTGCGTTCTTTGAAAATTGTCATATTTTCCAGGAATATTGACAACATAAGCAAAGCTGATCAGCCACTTTTTGACTTATTTAAAGAATTGAAATCCAATCATGAACAAGAAGAAGAACAAGACGAGGAACAAGACCAGGTACATACATAACAAATAATCAGGCATACACTGATACACATTAAGCACAGCTTATTTTGAGGTAAAAATGTAATATACCTTAGCTTAATGTATCATGCAGTCTCACATATGTACTATTTGGTTTCGTTATATAGGTTTGAGTCTGAAGGATACGATATTTATTTGTCCTTACAGTGAGAAGACGTGAAATGTTGACGAAGTAGTTGATGTTCTACTTAAGAATAGAAGCAATATCCGGGTTATACGACCATTCAAAACTTGATCTGGAAACATCCTGGCAAAACCAACTGTACGACATCATTAAAAAGTGCCAAACGTTGTCATGGCTCTTACTCCGTCGTTTCTCGAATCAACCGCTGTACAGAGCATACATATTGCATTATTCCAGCCGTAAAATGCAAGAAGTGTCCTAATGCCGCTGTATATTACTGATGTGCCATATATGCCGACCTACATGAGAATCACACAGTATATTGACTGCAGGTATCAATCTTAGATTCCAAAGTATCGTTTGATATTTTTGATTTGACCTAAGCTTGAAAAAAGCCTTTCTTGTCAATTTTTTTAGCATACTGTAGTTTAATTTTGTATTTCTTCTGCGGTGCCCCAGCGCAAGGCAAACTCCAACCTCGTTTAGGTCACCTCAACACGCTTCGCTCTTTGATTACCCACAGTGCTTAGAAGTGTGTGATCTTTCTATTGGATTATCTAGTGAACCGTACTTGAACTTGAACCGAACTTTACTTTTATATATTCATTTGATCAGTCCTAACACACCTAAAAATAAGACATCTTATCTTGCTCGGCATAGCTGTAAATGATGATATAAAATAGTTTTCCCAAAAGGCCGAAGAAATCGAAGAGAATTGAAAGTGCTAGAATTTGTGCATCTTTTTGGACAAAAATAGCCATTGATTGAGAACTTTTTTGAACTCTAAAGTGTCTCTAAATATTACCTTTTGGTTTCCAGGATTAGTTTTCAAGAGAAATTGAATGCTGCCTGTATCACTGTTATCGGTAGTCTTAAATGCGAAACGATTGAGTCAAACAAAGAAACACACCCAAGCCTGTGAAACAAGACTACGATATTTTCTTATCCTACTCCCACTGTAATTCAGACCGTGCGATGCAGATTATGAAAGAGTTACGACATCAGAGACCTGATCTTAATATATTTATCGACACAGCTGAGTTAAAGGCTGGTGGAGCGTGGCAGCTTACCTTGTACACTGCTCTGAGTAAGTTGAATGTTATTTGCTAATATTATATAATAGAATTAAAGGTCTGACCTTAAGATCTACACTTGCGATTTTCACTGCGATTTCAACCGGCCCCAGAGCATTCGTAACTTATTAACTCGTTCACATCAATAAAAAGAAGAAAATTGCACGTAAAATTCGCAAGTTGAAACGAACAAATTGTCAAAGGGTCCAGCTAGTGAATATGCGACGTGGTTAGACAATATGCAACATAACATTAATTTACTCGAGTCTACCGTTTTCCGGCGTTCTCGATCGACGGACTCGACCAAGGTCGAATACGCCATTTTCCAGCAACTCGCCCATGGTCGAATACACCGCGTTTTCCGGCGGACTCGACCATTGTCGAGTGAATAGTATACAATAAAACACGCAATTGTTTAGTATACCAGCAGGCACTTGGTATGCCCAACAGCTATAGGCTAATAACGCTATCCTTCACGCGGATAGTATGGCGGTTAACGGTTGTACCCGCGCGGCCACTGAATTTGCGACTCTTTATTTCAGACTGTTCACGTTTCGTGATTGCCCTGATTTCAAATGACTATCTTCATTCTAAAGTCTGCAATGAAGAAATTTGTCTATCTATTGCACTTCAACTTCAAGACAAGTGCAAAATCTGGCCGATCGTGATTGAACCGCTTGAAGCAAACATTGATTGGTTAAATATGTTGTCACCCGTGAACTGTTATGACGATAATGGAGAGGGAAAGAATAATTCCATGTCTTTTTTATGTAATCATTTTCTTTTGAATGTGTTTGAAGGTAATTTTCTCATTCATCAATTGCTGAGTGTCGTGCATGTGCAGTTTCCGAAATATAAGGATTATATTTAAAACAATTTCAGCGTTTGTACATTTGACAGGGTGTGATTTGAGTTATAGCTATCAAACCATGAAGCTTTTAAACTGAATTTATTATTTAACTTCTTTTCTTATTATATAGGTTGTGCAGGAAACTCCATTTTAGCTGAAAATATCCATTTACAAACATGTTTAGAAGAATCTCGATCGTTCTTTTTTGAAGAAGATTTTATTTCTTTGGTTGTTGATGCACCCAGTGAAGTTGTTACAAAGAAAGGAGACGGCACCTCGACGTTTTTACCAAAAGATCAAAGTTGCAATGTGGACATTTACATTATCTGTTCTTCAGAAGATATTGATTCCTGTTCCCTGCTAAAAAATATCATTACGTCGCAAAATGGATCGCAATATACTGTGAAGGTCTCGACAGACGAAAATGCTTCCACTAGGTTAACGTATTTAGACAAAGCTTGGTTAATCATTCCCTTGTTGTCTAGCAGTTTCATGCAATGCCCAGAATTGGTTCATGAACTGAATATCGCCTGGTGTCGTCAAAGAGATTGTTTAAGCTTGTGTTTTCTGGCAATTGTTTTAGAACAGTTACCAAATAATCCAACTTATGTCAGTCTGTTTCCTTGTTTTTTCAACTGCGAAGATGGCCGCTGGGTCAAAGATCGTGAAACGCTTAAGCTATTTCCTTCAGATGAACTAACTCGTGTTTATAAAAGCTGTCAATGCCCTCTTAATGTTGTACTTTGCTTCATGACTGTAGTAGATCATATACAGCAGTGGCATAATGGTAGCCATTGCCTTGTGCTTGGCACACACAACAAATTATTTAATTGTCTTCATTTAAATGCATGCATTCAACAACATAAAGAAGTATCATCAAAGTGTAATGAAGAAGCACAGGAAAAAGAGGTTGTTTCTAGCACTTGTTCAACGAAAGGAAACGATAAGATAACTGATGAGACGGCTCGTGCTGATGATGATGATAATTTGAAGCCATCTGCACCAAATGAATGTCAAAACCAAGATTCGCTTATTTCTAGCACTTCTAATTCTAGAAGTACGACTGCAGAGAAAGATGAAGTACCAACTGAACAAGGCAATGGCGTAGTTCGTGCTGATAATGATGATAGCTGCTTAAGGCCATCTGGAGCAATTGAAAGTCAAAACCACCATTTAGTTTTACCACAAGAAATAAAACATCCTGACAAACCAAGCTCAGATGTGAAAGTGATCGAGTCGCAGCAGATGTCCAATATTGAAAATATTGACAACCATAGTGCTGACGATTTGGGTAAAGAAACATCAGTTAAGAGCAGGCATGAAAAGAGACTGCTTAGAAAGAATGATCTTTCCTTTTCGTGTATAGTAATTTGATAATTTCGGTTGTGAACTTAAATTTGATGGACGCAATTTGAAGATGATTGGGTAGGAAATTGAAGGAGCGAAGAGGGATTGTGTTACTAGGAATTATCAGCACTTTTCTGAGACTGACTTCCTTTATGCTATTAATGTACAACCAATTAAAGTCAAGCTTGGTGGTAGTAATAGTATAATACTATTAATAGTAAACACGCAATAATTGCTTTTTCCAAATCGGGAACGTTTCATAAAAAAACTCATTGACATTAAGAGCTGATTTAGGTATACTCGAGTGAGACCATCCGATAAACATTGCGAAATGCGAACGTTTTTATAATTTGTAGTAATATTTGATTCACGTGTAAAAACTATGCTATGTATAGTAATGCTTTTGTAATTTGTAGTCTTTTTTGACTCACGGATACTACTCGTACTCCGTAGGACTGGTAGGAGAGTATCATAGTGCCATTAACTCGACCAACCTGCTTTGCGCGCCTAGTATTAAAAACTTTTTTATCTGGGGCCGGTTGTATGAAAGCCGGATAGCGCTATCCACCGGATAGTGATTTTTTCAACCGTTCTAAAAATGCTCGAAAATTGATAAAAGTTCATTTTTGGGACCAGCAATAATTAAAGAGGATACTCGATTTAGGAATACCAAGATTTAATCAAAGTTATAGAAAACAACGGGCGATTTTAAAGCGATTGAAAAAAACACTATCCGGCGGATAGCGCTATCCGGTTTTCATACAACCGGCCCCTGGTTATCTACTAACCAACAATTAATCGACTATTTGTGCATCCGTGAGTCGTCCCATTGAGACATTTGATTTTAAATTATGAAGACCTTTGATTTTAAATTATTTTTTCCCGAGCCGTACCACCTGGAAATTGACAGAATAAGTGTGAGAGAATCATTCAGTACTGCGGGTCCAAACAGTCCATGGATGCTTTGCGGTACGCAACTAGGCCCAGTACCCTGCTCGGTTAGAGAATGGGTAAGTCACTAATAGGAATTATGTATTTTGGAAATTGGAACTTGGAAATACTTGGAACTCGTTTTCCATTGCAATCTTCTATGCCCCTACTAATTGAAGGTTAAAATATCATGAAATGAGGAATAACATTAATGGTTATGAGGTTGCTGATAGTACAAGAGAAAAGGAGGAGACTAATGCTGCTTGCTTCTAAATTATCTGGTTGGAACTCAGGCGTACACCAAGCATAAATCGAGGGTGCATTCTATGAATTTAATTTACCCAGTACAAATATAAAGTGTGTAATGTACTTGACCATTGGTAATTTGCTGGTGGTTTCAGTTTTGTGTTGATACCTGTTATTGACGTTCTCTAACATGGCAGATTTATCGCATGCTGAACAGTATTACAACAGTGGCAAATATTCAGAAGCATATGAAATATATGATGTGCTTTTGAATAACGAACCGCAAAATGTTGACCTTTTGTTAGGCAAAGCAAATTGTTCCACATTCCTCAGCAAATGGCACGACAGTTTGGAGAATATTGAGAAAGCTTTTGTATTGACAAATTTGGATTCTTCAATTGTAAAGACTTTTCTTAACAATTTAATCAAGAACATAAGCACAAAAGCAAGATTGAATGAATACAAGGAGGAAAAGAATTTTGAAGCTAACTTAATATGTGAAATTTGTTATGAGGTGTTATGCTACCCAGTAACACTGTTATGTGGTCACACATTTTGCAGGCAGTGCGTTTTACGAAGCAAAAAATGTCTCTTCTGCAGTGACCATCTCCTTTTTGAAAAATCAGACAATTTATCTGTTAATGTTGTTTTAACAAGTATTACTGAAAATTGTTTTCAAGCTAAGATGAAGGCTTTTCAATTGAGGTGTGAAGGGAATGATTTTTTTCCCCATGGTCAGTACGAAGCTGCATTGAAGAAATATACAGAAGCATTGCAACTAGGTAAATAATTTTAGGGCATTACGGCAACTTGTATGTGATTACATGGCTTATTACACAATGTCCATTAGGTTGTTAGTGGAATCTTGACAGGTAAAGCTGTCTATCATTTAAACATAAGTAAAATGCTATTCACAGTCAATTGCCAGTGATAAAAAGTATATACAAAACCATTTCCTAGAGGTTTAGAGCGGGCTGGGCTCTTCAAAGCCACTGCTATGGTTAAACGATGACAATTCATTTTGAAATGAGTACCCAACAGTGAACACTTAAGTACCCAACACTGAGATTTCTAGTTAGGTGGAATTGCAAACATTTGTTTAAATTCTCTGTATGTTTAATGTTAAGGTGCTATAGGATTGAATGTAGTAATTTAAAATTTTTAGATCCCACAAATCATTTAATCCTTGGCAATTTGTCACATGTTTGTACAGCCTTGGAAGACTATGAAGCAGCACTGGATTATGCAAATAGAGCATGTAATATGTCATCAACATGGGAAAAGGTTGGAAATTTTATGTGATCTGCCACCTATGCCTGACCAGCATGGTTGGTGCTGAGAAATTCTGAAATTCTTTTTTTGAAACTTGAATGATCCTGATTTCACTTTCACTTACTCCTTTACATAACCCTGTGGGAGCATCTGAAAAATATTAAGACATTAGCTTATTGATTTTGAACAACTCAAATAAACTGGTTGTTTCTGATTATTCCTGGTTGAACTTAGGACTATTTTTACCAATTTTACCGCTGAAAACTGTATGGCAAATTTTAGGGACATTATCGAAAAGCTCAAGCTCACGTTGGTCTAAAGAATTACTCTCAAGCAACTGTTTCTTATCTCAAGATTCTTCTTATTGATCAACAAAATGACATAGCTCGCAAATCTTTGGAAAAGGTACTGAGAGCAGGTCCTACCCCCCCCCCCCGTATCGCCATACCATGAGGCGTAAGAAATTTGTAAAAAAAATTGATGGTCAGTGGTTTTAAGACGTTTTCTATGGTTCAAGTCCACGTTTAACGAATACCGGGCCATAGAAAGTGAGGTAAAAGAAAAACTTTAAGAATGATCGTCGAAACAACCTCGTTTTCAATTTTAGGTGTTCGTAGAAATACTAACCAACAGTATAAACCCGGGAAACTCGAGTACGATTGATGATCTCGCTGCATCTCTGGATGGTTTAATTGAAGGTCATGGAGGTACGGCAATTAATGAAAAGTGTTGATTGAAATTTTCATAATGGAGGGATATTAAATATAGGATGTATTTGATTGTCTACTTTTAGATAGCGAACAGAAAAATATCGGTTGTTTTGAAGATGTCCAGTCAATTTTATCTGTGAAACTCGGCATAACTGATTTAGAATGCTCTCTATGTTGCCGGTATGTGTCCATATTTTTAAACATTCTGCATTCAATTACTGTAAGCTCTTTTTAGGCGATACATTCCAGCATTACAGAGAAAGGGAAGTGCTATAACTGGATCGCTAGATCACTTGTTCGCTTTCTTCTTCATAAGTGATGAAAGCAACTTCAAGCAAGCATGGGTTAGCCGAAATATGTTGTGGTACTAATTTACAGGATACAACCTTGGTATGGAGGGAAAACGGGAAGGTTCTATCTAACTTAACACAGCATATTTTTGCCTTTAGACATAACTTCACAGTAGCCATATCATGGGGATAAATTAAGTTGCAAGAATTTTGGAAATAGCGTGAATTTGTTGTAGATTACAGAAATATTAACTGGTGAAGAAACTTCGTTAATAGTTTGAACCTTCCCCTCTCCTGAAACGAGATCGACTTTTTGCGTTCGCTTTCTTTTGAGATACAGGCAATCAAGCGAAACTGTTGCGATAATATGAGCTTGACTAAACACTTCCGAAAAATAAAATGTAATGTGGTTATGTTACTCGGAACTCTCATGATTAAAAACATATATATTATGTTACACTAGTAAAATATTAAAAGCAAACTTTTCCAAGCTTTCGGACAGTTTTGACAGTTTTACGCCAGTTATTCCCTGATGATGGACGCGTTCGTCCGAAAGCTTGGAAAAGTTTGCTTTTAATATTTTACTAGTGTAACATAATATATATGTTTTTAAACTTCCGAAAAAATCGATTGTGCGACATTTTGCACTAAATGGAAATCCTCGTTTAGTAGTTTGATCAACATCAGATCAACGTTGTTTTAGGATGTTTTATGAGCCAGTCACGTGTCCATGTGGTCACACGTTCTGCCAGTGGTGTCTCAACAGATGTTTGGATCACAATCCTGTTTGTCCTGTATGCAGATATTCAATTAATGAGGTAAAGTTTTAGTTAATAATGCAGCTATGCCGAGCGATTTGTGGGGGAGAAGGGGGAGTTTAGTGCCCGAAGCCAGCTCAAACCAGGAGAGAGTTCCCAATACCCTGTCTGAAAGATCACTAGGAGTTTAACTTATTTAAGTTTTTAGTATTTTTAGGGATTCAATTCTACTTCGCTAGACGCGTTTATGCATTTCCATTCCAGAGTAATCCTATTCCGGTCTAATCCATATTTTTAAACTTTGTTTAGTATATCAACAACGAAATTCAAGTACGTTATTCTTCAGCTTAAATTCTCTAATCTAAATGAATCTTTAGTAAATTTATTTTGGGTAAACTTTTCTCAGTGGAAAAATATCTTGCGTAATTTGATATGTCCAGATACTCAAGAATTCTTAGTCGAAGTGCTTAATCTGTATTTTCCTAGAATATTACAAGAAGCATACAAGCTGTTTGTAAAGGATATTTTCCCAAGAAATTTGAGGAACGAAAACGTCAACATGAAGAAGAAGTAGCAAGACTTGCAAGGTTGACTCGCCAATGTGAAACTTAAAACGAGCAAATATATATTCAAGGCCGAAAACACCTGCCGGATAAAGTCCGTCATTTGTTGATCATCTGCCATTCGAAAAATAATGGACTTAGTTTTGCTACAACGGCAATAGGATGCGAGCCATACTTTCATATGAGCCGAACTGTGTCTATCTGTCTAATGATTGATTGGAGAAGACAGTGATTATAGGAAAAGATTTTGCTAAAATTGTAGATGTTGGGGATTATTCCAGTCCCGCATAGGAAAGAGATTGTCACCATAGGGTGTTTCTAATTCGCCCTTTTTCACAGCCTTTGCTATATTATAACAGTTTATACACTGACCTATATGTATATATTCGTAAATTCTAACAGTATATATTCAGGTCAGTATAAGTGCAAATTCACTGGGCACGGCCCAATGCAGATTTTTGATTAATAAGATTTTTGATCATTTAGTGTTGCTTCCGATACTGACGAAGACATTCCAATATTTGTGTGTACGTTGGCCATTCCCACAATTCCTTGCAATCTTTGTATATTTGAACCACGGTATCGTCTAATGATCCGGGAATGTATGGTATCTGGCTCGAGACAGTTTGGCATGTGTTGTCCAAGTGAAGATAACAGGTATATATGAAGTACTTCGTTCATTTCGTTCAATATTCTCATTTGCGTATGTTAAGCCGGTTATCCACATTTTTTCAGCATTTCTTCTCGTAGCATTTCGACTTGTATCGAGTTTGATCTTATTCGCTTAGACGGCCTAGATGAATATCTAAAGCCCAAGTGCATCAACCCCCGACTCTTGCTTTTCCATATGCCTCGTTCTCTAGTTTTCCCTTGTTTCATTGGCTTACAGCCGATTCAGGTTGAGCGTTTAGCGGAAGTGTTGATGACGTTCGTTGTGGGCGTTGCAATGTGACGTTTCTAAGGGGCCAATTACACGTTTCTATGCAAAGAACGTTGCGTCGAAATATAAAGCACATGCTATGCGTTGTATATATTTTCTCTATAAAAATGTCTTTAATTCAGATTAAAGTTGTGTACAATTACTATTCAAGTAAGAGGATAACACCAATTTACATATTGGACGGAGAATTAGAGAGCTTTTCGTTTGAAATGTTTAAAATGCGTGTACTTAAAGATGTCCCACACTTGGCGAAAGCTGCTTCTTTGCGTTGGACCATAGACGATGATGGACTTGAAGTGGACTTGTCGCCAAGTTACTTCAATGTCCAAATGAGAGGAATTTTAGAAAAAGAAAAGAGCATTAGAATATACGCGATCGAATTCGAATCACCGATAGTGACAACATCTACATCGTCTTCGAAGGAAGCTTCTGGTATAAAGTCATGCACGATCAGCGCCGATGTCAAAAAGCCAAACCTAAAGCAAAATATACGCGCACGAAGGACATTAGTTCTACCGGAGCAAGATGAATCGAAGCTGGATTTTGTCTTTGGAGGAGAATCAGACGTGGACACGGACGACGAAAATACCGAAGAAAACGAACCACGTATAATGATGCCTCTTGAAAGGTACGCTTTGAAACAAAAAGAGACGATAGAAAAAATTTCGACAGAGCTACAAGAAGGAACTCGCCAATTGCAAAAGTTTGATGAAAAAATTCGTCGAGCATCGTCCCAAAATGAGGGAAGTTTATCTACGTGTGGGAATTGTCACATGAAACTTGGCCACACAAAAAAATATGTACCTTCTCTCCGTGTAAATCCGCATTTTCTTGTGGCATTCTGTCCAAGCACATGAATGAAAAGGCCCAACGTACAGCTATAGAAGAGACATTGGCCGTTTGCGTGTTAAATTGAATAAGGCACGAAAGGAAGTGGAAGATGCCGGTCGAGCTGCGGACAAACTAACTCATTCCGTTGCCAAACGAATTGAAGATATTGTTATCGCCGAGCAACCAGACAGATACGTCAGTTTTGGGCTACGAAACTGGGCACTATTAAATAAGGATGTGGCTACTCTACAAAAAAATCTCAAAGGGAAGCTCCCCTCACGAGAAAATGTTATGAAACATATTCATGAAGTTGTTAAAAATACGTCGAATCATGAGAGTAAACCAAAGCAAAGATCTAGTTCCACGGCCAGTAGGGCGCCGGTTTTGAGCGAGACAGATCACAGGATGAGTTCGCACAAGCGTCTTTTGGCTGAGAATTATGGCATAAAATTTCCTAGCAAAGGAAAGACACAAACATCATCAGTCATCTGCTCTGGTGACGAGTTGAAAGGCTTCAAAACTCGCACTTCAACTTCAACAGGAAGAAATGGAGTCCCCACCAAAAAGTTCAATACCAATGGAGAGTAAGGAGAGTTCGACGGCGTCGATGCAAAATACACGCAACGACCGAATCATGATAGATGATGAAAATTCCAATCCTGTCCCATTCCAAGAACCCTTCGGCTCCGAACTAGCATCAAATGATCCAGTTGCGGTAAAACGGACAGTCGAGAATATCGAATTTGAAGCCGACGCTGCAGCTGCCCTGCTGCAGTTGAAACGCCGCCGAGAGTCACAGTCCTAGACGTTGAAATCGACATTTACAGTACAGTTGTACAGGTATAAAGACAATATAAACGTAAAGTAAATTTATATTATTAGTTGGCTCATTTTCCTATTGCAAACAGGGCGAATTTGATAAGCTTCAAGACGGACTAATACGTAATGTTTATATTGTGTTTTTTTTGTTTAGAGTAGTCAGATTATAATAGTCAGACTCAGACTCTCAGATAAATGACTAATGGAGTTTGTTTTGACAGGCACTTCGTTGCTTAATTAACTCCAAACGTTTTACCGTAAAATAACGCCATTTAACAATTGACGTAAAATAATTTCATTTATATAGGCTCCTTGATTGAAAATAATAGTTTTGAAACATGTCTATCCTATTGCATTAAATAACCAGTAATCTCATAAAAAGATTGCATGTCACCAGGTGTTATGAAATTAATAGCAGTGTATAAAGCCTCCTTTAAGTCCGTGTTTGTCATTTCCCAAAATCTGTATTTGAGCAAATATTTTAATTTGCCAAAAACATACTCAGTGGGGTTAAAATCCGGGCTGTAAGCGGGCATATAAACTAACTCGATGTTCAAATCTTGAAGAAATTCTCGTAGAACGCGTTCACCTTCGTAATGATGTATTGGACAGTTGTCCATAACAATTGTATCGCCGACTTCAAGACATGGTCTGCCTGTTGCTGGGTTTACAGAAGTATATGCTTCTTCAAAAAACCTTAGAAATTCCAAAGTGTTAGACGGGCCATCTATTACATTCATATACGTTACCCCGGTAAGAGCACACATGAGATTTACAGTTGTGTTTGATGTTTCACAGTATCGCTTAATTTCAATTGCCCTTTCTCCTAAAGGAGCGTGTCCGTAAAATCTTGTGCCGTTGGTGGGTAACTTAACACCGCATTCATCAAAATATTTCAGGGTGTAAGGATCTTTTTCGTGTAAATAGTCCACAAACAATTGTGTGTATGCCATGTTTTGCACAGTAAACCTTTCCTGTGCCACGTGAGTTACTTTTTATAGCTAAATGCTTCGCCACTCGGCATTCTTTTTCGAACAGCATTGCTAAGAGCTGTGGTTGAAGTACTTCCAAGGGGAAGGTCGCCAACTTCAATAAGATATTTTCAATTTCCGAATAACTAATCGAAGGTTTTTGTGTTTTCAGGACTTCAATTAATTGGAGATCTCCGTCTGAAAGACCGCTTTTATTCCCCCCACCATGTTTTAGAGGGCTTAAAGACTTGTCCTCGACAAACTGCTTCCAAATTTTAGAAACAACTGGAGGGGACAAATTTAATTCATTTGCGATATCGGCATATCGTCCGCGAAAATGACCATTAGTCATATTTCCACCCCTCTCAATAATCTTATCAATAATAGTAGCTCTTAAATCGGATGACAAAGCTTTTCCTGGCCTATACGACCGCCCTTTACTGCTAACCTTCCACATTTTGTTTATGTTAAATATAGAACAACAATATAAATTCATAATTTCGCGCCGCGCCTCAAAAAAACGCAACGTTCTTTGCATAGAAACGTGTAATTGGCCCCTTAGAAACGTCACGTTGCAACGCCCACAACGAACGTCATCAACACTTCCGCTAAACGCTCAACCTGAATCGGCTGTATTATAATGCGTTTCTACAGTTTCTCAGATTATGGAGTTATGCTAGAAATCGAAGATTTTACTTTGCTACCAGATGGAAAATCTTTTGTCAAGTCAGTGGGAGGAAGACGCTTCAAGGTGACACTAGTGTATAAGTTGAACAAGCGCTTTCAATTGATTTGTTGTTTTTTTGCTTTAAGAATAACTCGTATGCGTGTGTATAAGATTTTGATCTGTTTTACTTTGATTTGAGTACAGTTCACGATGAATATAAGAAGATGAGATATATTTCTGTTCTGTGTTATGCTTCATGTGATTTTTTTTAATTACCGGGTGTTTAGGTTTTAAGCCGTGGTGTGAAGAATGGTTATAATACAGCAAAAGTTGAGTGGCTCAAAGATAAATCATTTTCAGAGGAAGAGATAGGTATTCCAGAATTTTGATAGTTATCCTCCACACCTAAAGAAAGAACGAGAAAAAAAACACATACTACAGACTAAAATTTCGAAACATTACTAATTGCAATGACTGCCTCGAAATTTCTACCAACAAGCATATCTTGCACTCTATCAAGACTATCATACTGCTTATGTTTTGCACACGTCAAATCACTATCATCGTATATTCTCCTAATACGAGTATACTTAGCTGTAATGTATATTTTTGGAAATCTTCTGTAGAGATTATCAGAAACCGTCAGCAGTACATCTATGCCAAAATCGTGAACTGGTTCTCATCAATGTCTATATTCGAAAAGGTAAATTCATTTTTTATTGCTTCCAGCCACGACTTCTGGCTGGGACCACATCGCCTTTAGGTATCTCCTCTACATGCATGCGCATCTTCCACAGTTCGAGACTCTGATTCATCGCCCAAAAAATATCATAACTTTACATTCTAGATACATTTGTTAGCTGAAAATCAAATACCAATGCATCCTCCAGAGTGTGATACTGAGAATATCACTAACCGAAACGGCCCAAACTGGATCTGGTGGTCTTTGCATCTTCTTCCCATGCAACCCGCGATGAAACTTCAAATTATTTCAATGACTAACATACGACAACGTTTGGATAGAATTGAACAATTCTTTCAGAACAACACATGAGTATATACAATGATTTTAGTGGTTGAATATTAACATTGGTTTAACAACAGCTTTTTGCCAAATAGAGCTATTGTAGCAAAGTCCAATATTTTCAAAGGTGGGGATTTAGTGGTATTAAAAAACCTTAATCACATATCATTACAAATAAAAGAAATTGACTAAGAACTATTATTGTCCAACAGAGGAAATGTATCGTTATTCATAAAGTAATATATAGTACAATATTTATATGCAAGTAAAAATATCCTGTTTAAAAAATTATTCTAATCCATCAATGATTATCTAATAATATTTCAGTCATGCCTGTTTACTGTAGGTATATATTGTATCATCTCCAACGAAGATCATCATCAATTACAGAAGACAATTTTTGAGATGAAGACAATTGCTAAACTTATTATGTAGACCCCAGATCGAACATTCGCTGCGAGTTATCAAAGATATAACACTCTTTATAGCGTATACCAAACAACTAATAACCTCCTTAGAAACGTTCATCTCTGTTATCAAATGTTTCCAAGGATCGATTTCCGATGAGTTCTCCCAATGTTTGTCTTTGCAATGGAAGAAGCAGGGTAATAGATGAGAATAAGTTGGTTTATCTGGAAGATCATCTACAATTATTGACAGAAAACATAACTCCTCAGCGTAACGTTGGCGACACCAAGCGATGTTGAGTTCGTGAAGAAGCTCTTTGCATGACAGGTAGCTCGGGGATAGCAGAGGAATCACTAAACTCGACGTCTCGAGATAAGCCAGGCGTGATGAATTTGATTCCTCCAAAGATTTCTTAATTATTAATGATTGATCCAGCGATATCAGTAGTTTACAAAATAATTGGCAGTATTTCACGTCTTCTTTAGAGCAAATGACGTAAATATCAACATGGTTTGGGACCGACTGACGAGAACGGTTGAATGGTGGACTTTCACTTTGTTGAGATATCATTACTCCACTTGCAATATTTGAAACATGTCCAGAATCGAATGTGATAAGCTTACGAACATCTTCAAGAATTCCTATAATTCCAGTCTTCTCGTTCTCAACACTCGGACAGTTTGATGCTACATGGAAAGTATTTAAAAAAAATCAATACCAAAGGTGGATTTCTTTCTTGCATTGTTCATCAACAATCAGTGTTCATCAACTGTTTCATGCACAAATGCACTCGTATATGTTATACACAAATATATGTTATTTTAGGTTTTAGAACAACTAACTATTACCATTAATATCTTTGAGAATGTTTTTACACAGACCACCTATGCCAGGAAAGTTTTCAGTTGACGGTTGAACGAAACATTGAACAGGTGAAATCAACTTCAACCACGGCAAATTTTTACTTAATGGTTCAATCACAACTGGCCAAATTTTTGCAGTTCCTTGGCATTGCAATGCGATAGCAAGGCTGAGTTCTTCAATGCAGACTTTTGAAGAAAGATAATGGCCAGAGATTAATGCAATCATCACCTTGGAACGTTCTATAAGATAAATAATTTTCTGGCAAAATCTTTCTTGTTTTAAAAAACTTTATTAGTCGCTAATTCTTCCAAATCTAATCCAGCAAAATTTAAAATTGTTGGCTCTGATTTACACCAAGCAGCAACACTTACCTATAGCGTCATACAAAGCTTGTTGCCAAGCACTGCCAGCCTTAAGTTCAGTGGTGTCAATAAATATATTAATGTCAGGTTGGTAAATGCGAAGTTCTTTTATTACTTGTTTTGCTACATCTTCATTTATATGCGAATATGACATGAATACATCGTAATTTGGTTCAAGAAATGTCAGTCTTTTAGCATCAACGTTGTCAACATCATACGACCCTATACGTTCAACTACGGTAACACAAGCTTTGCCAATCTTTTCTGCGTCATGTTCCCTACAAGAAAACCGTATCTAATCTTTTTTAACTCAGTCAATTACAATACTACAGTTGGGCTGATGTACGGCAATTAAACGTCCGCAATATCGTGAGGATACTACCTTATTATGAGGTACCCAGCAACAATGGTGGAAGATAAAACAGTGAATTTTAGGCAATAAACACTAGTATTCGGCGAGCAATGCCATACCTGCAATCAATATACTGAGTTATTCCCATGTACATGGGCATGTATGAAACGTGAGAGAGTAACAATGGAATGAGAAACTTGTGATGTAATTTCCTGTTAAGGCACAACGCGATGTTAAATTGTTCGGAGCAACTTGTCGATTTCAGGTATGCAGGAGTAATTAATGCAACAACACGTTTACAACTTGTTATCGTATCATATAACTGCTGTTGCCAGGATTCATACATGTCTAACTCCTGCAACTTTGAGAATACTTTGATGCTCTTGCCGTTCTTCTGAAGACATTGGATAATGAATTCTGTGCGCCCCTTGTCTTCTTCGCAGTATGATAAATATATGTCGTATTCGCTCAAATGTTCCTACAACAAACAAGAAATTAAGAATAATATAATGATACAGCATATAAAATTGTCTTTGAGGATGAATTAGTAAAAGTTATGCATTGACACTGTAAAGATATTTTTGCACCATGCAGTTCCGCAAGTGACTGGTGGACTGTGAAGACCAGGCAGTTTTGAATTGCAAAGACAGGGCTGCTTTGAGCGGACCCCCGCAACTTTTGCATACATATTTCTACCTTCTGTTTTTCCATTCTTCCTTTCTGGTAACTTTCCTTCATCTTTTTAAAGCGTAGTATTAGCTCCATGTTTTCGTGTTCTCTCTCTAGTAAAACAATCTTTAAACAGCGTAGCGATAACCCTGTCTCTATCCAGTGAATTGCTGCCGTTACGAGCTCCTCGAGCATCTGTTTCTTGGAGAATTTCTGTTAAATTAAAATAAATAAAAATATCAAAATCAATACGTTGAGTCAGCTAGGTTGATACAGTTCAAATCAAATCAGGTGAATTAAATAATGGGCGACAGCAGAGGCAGCCACACCTTGTTCTCTACGAGGAGCTCTGGGTAACCAGGGCCAGAAACTGAATCTATTGCAAATTATATATTTTTTAATTTTTTAAAAGATTGCATAAAAAAGTATAAATTTGACGTGCCTGAGCACCAGCAGCTAACAAGGGCATCACTACACGAGTCTCTTCATTGCCCATTGCTGGAACAAGACATCGAAATATATCTCCAACCACTTGAGGTGAAGTTTTACCAACTTTGAATCTATCAAAAAATTGTCAACTTCCAAGTCACACCCTGATGAAAATGGCACACAAGGTGTTAAAAATAAGAGTATTCATTTTTTCCACTTTCTTAATTAATAACCATCTATGATTTAGTGAATCATATAATGTAACCTTATTGAATAAAGGTATAGTGATTAGATATGTGATTAGATATTGAGCACATTTATTTTCACTAAATAACAATTTTTGTTTAGCATGGATGGGAAAAGTATTGAAAAATTATCAGCATTTCTGATGCCTACAAGTCTGTGGTGCTTTGTCAGTGTTAAAGTACAAACTACAGTCAGGTTTTTCATTTTTCTTTTAAATGTTGAAGACAAATCAACATGAAATCTAGACATCATATAGTATTGGTATCGACAAAAATGGCCAGTATCGGTCTGGTATTGAATTAAATGAAGAAAGGTGGAACTGCCCATAAGTACTAACCCGCCTTCAAAGCAAAGAATTTTCTCAAAACTTAGATGATCAGGCAATGGTTTTGACCACCAACAAGAATGTAAACTTCTTAAATCTTCCTCCTTATCTTTTGCCAATACCCGAACATCAATGTTGAGACGATTATAAAGTTGACCAATAAGAGAGGGTGGTGTTGGTACATAGTCATCTGGCAAAAATAATATGGTATAAGGTGTGACAACATGACATAAGATTTTGCATTTTTTGCATCTAAGGAATAATTCTCCATGGCATAGACAGTGTCCCCAGATGTCATGAGCAAATATATTCCTCTATTTTGCTTCTCAGATATTGCCACAGAAAAGTAAAATGGGTATTTAAATAATGATTGATGGAACCATAGATGTCTACCACATATCCACCACACCTATCAAATTAGCCTCTAGATCCCCCACCCATCTGGGGGTCACATCTTACACTCTTCTCTTGCATAATTATAGACTCAGCTTTGGTATTTGGATATTCATTCATTAATTTCACAAATTCAATAATTCTACCTGGAAAAGCCGAAATAACAAGCACATTAATCTTATCCTCTTTTGGTATTTCAATTATATCTCCAATGCAGAGTTGTATACTACAATCCCCAATGTCATCTGTACAAACCACGATTGTGTCAGAAACAAGAATACCAGCCATTTCATAAAAAGTAATAGATAAAATCAATGGAAAATATAAAACTCGAATTCAATGGGGAAATTGTTGTTATTACTGCCATAAAAAGAAGTAAAATGTTTCATTTCCGCTCGTGTTTCACATTCTTTCAGGGGGGTTGCACATTCAATTTAGTAGGGGGTGTTCTGACTTCTGGCTGTCTTGAGTGTATTCGCATCTGTACGATGGAGTCGGACGAGGAAGGAGCGTCTGATTATCAGGAAGACGAACTAACAGCGCTGAGTTCTATTTACGATGAAAGAATATTTACTAGATTAAAAAATAGTGGAGAATTTCGTATCTTTGAAGGTACCGGATAATTTTCAAGGTGAAGAATATTGCGCAAAAGAACTGAAATGAATGCTGGATGACCAGCCACACAATGACGTAATATGGAATGCCTCTCCCCCCTCTTGTTCTAAACTTTGTATCCCCCTGGAATACCCATTATCTGACCCCCCTCAATATACGTTGAAGTGTAAATGGTTGAATGTGTCACAGGTAAGTAATCCCCGTAACCGTTTGTGTAAAATTTGGAGCAGATTTTGATTGCCAATTTTGTCACTCCCTGATATTTAATCATTATTAGGTTATATGTCACATTTAGATCGCATCAAATGCAATGCAAGCAATAGATAAAAAGACCAAAATGTGTTATTATTAAATGCGACATATAGCCTACAGTAGGCCTATGACAAGAATACACCTGAGACATTTTCATCTAATACTGCAGAGTGACGTTTTTCTGCAATATTTTTGTTGCAAAACAAGGCCACACCTAAGCTGCAGGTGCAATTAAAATGTACTTAGGGATGTGCCACAAACATTGGCCTGTCTGGTGGACACCTTGTCCAATGGAATAATTACATAAGAATTAAGACAGTTTAAATTTAAATTCAATTTTAAATTTAGTCTTAATAAATTTAAATTTGGTCATAATAGGCTTCTTCTTTCTTATCTACAGACTGCAAAATTAAGTAAACTCAGTGATCAAGAAAGGAATTATAGCATTGAAGAATAATTAATTGTGCCATGACACCTATATGAAGTATAATTTCCCCAGTATGGCATGACATGACAGATAATGTTTTGTATGTGTTACTTATACAGTCATGCTGAGCAGGATTTTTCTACCTTACAGCAATGATGATGATAATAATGATGTATCATGTATGTGCATTCAGTGACTTCAACCATGCTTCTACAGTTTACACTTTTATAATTATTAATTTCAGTTATCAAAATTATGCAAGTCTATGGATACATTATGGGAAGAAAATCTGTATGAAGTGGTACTTTTTCGTTGGATTCAATTTCTTGAGGAAGAAACATTTGATCTGCTTAATATTTCTTCACCATTAGTTTTGACAACAAAGACAAAATTTTCATCAAATGTTCCTCCTGCATTTGATCCAAGAGCTGTTCAAGATGTTGCATCGCCTGCTGCCCTCCTTGATATAATTCTTGATTTTGATCAGAAAGAAAGAGAACAAGTGTTCAAGACAAACCATTTTTCATGTGGTGTTTGTTTTCTGAAAAAACTGGTGCTTTCTGCATTGCTTTTCCAAAATGTGAACATGTTTTTTGCACAGAATGTATTTCAGAGTATTTTAAATTCCAAATTGAAAATGGTTCCGTGAAAGCATTAAACTGTCCTGAAACAAAGTGTGAGTCACAAGCCTTGCCTTCTCAGGTCAAAAACCTTGTTAGTTCTGATTTATTTGCCAAATATGATAACTACCTCTTGCAGTCTAGTCTGGATGAAATGTCTGATATAGTTTATTGTCCGAGACCCACATGCCAATCACCTGTGATTTTGGAACAAAATACAACAATTGGTGTTTGTGAAGTGTGTCGGTTTGCGTTCTGTTCACTCTGCAAGTTAACATTTCATGGTGTATCACCATGTGTCTTCAGACCAGACGAAGTACGAAAGTTGAAAATGGAATATGAAAATGCAACAAATACAGAAAGGATATTCCTGGAAAGAAAGTATGGCAAGGACCGACTCCGCCGCATGATTGATGATTTGGACTCGGAGGAATGGCTGGTGGATAATTCAAAAATATGTCCTCGTTGTCATGCCCACATTCAGAAATCTGATGGCTGTAACAAGATGCATTGTTCAAAATGTCGGACAGATTTTTGTTGGTTGTGTGGAAAGATATTGGATCCACGAAATCCTTATCTTCATTTTAACACGTGGGAGTCGCCTTGCTTTGATAGATTGTTTGAAGGTGTAGAGATTGACAGTGATTAAAAACAGCTTCACAAACTTTTTGAATGTTGTAATGTTAAACGCCGGTGGATCATGAACATAGACCTACGACCGTGTACGTATAGAGGAATACACGTGTCAGATTAATATAATGATATTGATATTCATAGATTTCATTTCAAGTCCCTAAAGGACAACTTATGAATTATTTTATTCTTGTGTGCTGGTAATATTTGTGAGTTGCGTGCTAAAGAATGAATTTCCCAGGTGGAATTTCCTATCAAATTGCGAAAATGCGCGAGCGAACTCTCTGCGGGTTAGTAATTGCCGTTAAAGTTGTCCTTGTACAAAATCTTCAAAAACCTCCTAATGCTTCAAATCTTACAGAATTTTGCACTCCTGCAGAAAGAGTTCTAAACCTTTTCTACGTCAGTTATGCCGGTTTCAAATTTAATTGTAACTGAATTCGGTCGTGAAAATGTCATGGGTGTCACAAAATGAACACCACTTTACACCGCTTTACCACTGTTGCTCTGTTCAATTACCTCCACCTATATGGTCCGTAAGATAAAAGACGAAAGTCGAATATAAAAACTATTATAACTAAAACGCTCAACCCTTCCGGCCCGGAAATACATGACTTAATAGTTTCACATTGGTATAGCAGATTTGCATAGAGGAACAGCCACTGTCGAAATTAGCCAAATTACTTGTACAAGAGTATTTTCCTTCGAAACGTGCCCTTGTGGGCTGATCACATAAGAGGACGTAAGAGTAACAGGTGCTTCCTATAGTATACAATTCATAAAAGGACAACACGTTGCCATCTTCATATTTCGTATTTTCGTTAATACTCATGGTGATACGTCATCAACATTTCATAATTCCAAGAAAACCGGTAAAAACTTGTTAAACTGAAACATTTTCTGACCCACTTTAAATATGTCAACAGGAAATAAGGGAAAGTCTCTAAAACCACCACTAATCGATCAAAAAACTAGAACTGTAGTTATGTAGTTTGCAATGTATCTGTATTACACTGATCCTAATCACTATAGCAATGTCGCAAATCGTATGCAAAACCAGAAACGTTTTATTAGCATTTTTTTCTTTATACTAATGCATCACGTGTTTAAATCTCATCGACCTGAAATGTTATATCACACTCAGTCCATGCCCCGTCAATTTCTCTTTCGAGTTCCTACAGTTAATTAAAAGCGCTTAATGCTTTATAGTTGACTGATTATCATTCTTCAAGCCACAACGGAAAATCGTGACAAATTAAGGTTGGTGGTTATCATAAATTTTGTGGTTATACAGTCTAAATTGTCTATTACAAAGTCTACTCTACTTCATTTGCTCAATGCTGGGGCTCGCTCAGTATATGAGTGGCAGGAATTATACAAAGTTTGGTTCGTCATTGACGGTGACCGAGAAGGCGCTGATTCAGCGAATGTAAAATGGAAACCAACTGCTGGGTCTGTTTTTTCTGCATACTGCCTTTGTCCTGGTGTTTAAGACGGCGTCTGTAAACATGTAGCAGTGCCGCTAGTTTGTGATTCTCTTCATGACCGTCTGTATCCCTCATCAGGTCCTACGGACAGGCTTTGGCAATTGGCATATCTTTTTATAACATGTTGAATCATTTGAATTGATTATAGTTTAAATCAGATGTGACTACTTTTATACAACTTATGAATCAATCGCTTTTTAACAGGTTCACTGATAATCATGGCTGGTATCAATGAAGGAATGCAATATTTAAAATCTTTGCCAAGTTTTTTGAAGATCTTGGAAATTGTAAGATGTGTGGTACATTGGCCTAATTCTATTCAGATTTTTAAAACGAGTTGCTGAGTTAACCATTGGGTTGGGTATACCGGCTTAGTCCTACCACAGTTACTATACTTTTAATACAACATTTTGACTGTCAAGCACCGGCTCATTTGAGTGAATCAAAGGGCGCTTTTCTTTATACTGAAAAAACGGCAAGTCCGGTCCTGTTGTATTTCGGTACAGGCAGATTACTAGTATTTTAGAATGTTTCAAAACTCTGCACTCGGAAATATAGTTTCATCGCTATATTCTTAACGAAATACTCTATTTCAATTTAAAATACGCCCGGTCTGACCATTTTGGCCGCTTAATGGAAGCGCCCAAAATATTGTCATTGCATGGATCTAGAGCTATCAAATCAATTAATTTATTCCAACTTTGTAAATAGTACATATTTTAACCCTTGGACAGGGTTTTAGAGTTTACTTCCTGTTTTTAGTAACATATTTTATCATTTTTCTCAGCCCTTGAATTTTAATAAATTTTAATATTTTAATAAAGTCATCACAGACCAATTTTAATAAAGTCATTTATTCTCATCTAGACCTAAAGCTGTTTAATTATTTTAATTCCATCGCCATGACGGGGTTTTTGTCACGCTATTGAGACTTAATGTATTTTTATAGATTCTTCTTCTGGTCTCTATTGGTCCAGTGGGATACTTTCTCAACAACGCACCAGATTTTGATTTCGACAAAAGGGATAATCTGAAATTTTTCGTTGGCGCAGCCGCAGCTTCAGCTGTTATCGCACTGCTGTTTTTTCTCATCTTTCTAACTGGTGCGCATAAAAAAATCGACGCTTTTAACTGGGCAAGAACGGTACGTGTATACTCATTTATACTCGATCATTAGTCATGTGTAGTTCCCTTAATGATAGGCGCGATTTCTGAAATAATGCAATTGCTTCTAACTTTTGCCACCCCACTTGCGAGAGCTGGTAAACCCAAATCTGGGTGAGAGACTCGATTGAGCTAGAAATAATGGATTTTTTATTGTGTGGACCTGTTTAACTTCTTTACTTCTAATTCTTTCTTCATGCTCTTCTCCCGGACGAACTTCATGTTCAAGATAGTCTTATAGATATATATATATATATATATATATATATATATATATATATATATATATATATATATATATATATATATATATATAGTCATTTCAAAAAAGGTTGACCTTCCAAAATATATGAATCTTGAACATTGAGCGCGGAAGGGATGATGGATAGCAACTTATTTTGGGTGTTTAATCCCGCAAATATCGCTTGGAACAATGAAAAGTGACCTACACAGCATTTCACTGGCTGTAGCCATTGCTAAAATTCAATTTTTGCACCCTTAAGGCACAAAATAAGCTGCTACCCATCATCCCTTGCACGCTCAATGTTCAAGGTTCATATATTTTGGAAGATCAGCCTTTTTTGAAATGACTGTATATATATATATATATATATATATATATATATATATATATATATATATATATATATATATATATATACGAAACTTTATTTTATCCATACTAAAATTATTTGTCATGAAACTTCATGGCTGCTCATGCAGCACATGCAAAAAACATCTTGTATTTATTTCCGAGTTGTAGATCATTTTTGTTAATTAGAGAACTATCGATATAGTTACTTCATTTTTTCTAAGAAAAGCTAAATATTTACACTATGATTCATGGTGTTTTTTAGGCGGCAGGTATCTTTCTTGTTCTGGCGATCTTACTACTAGTTGCTTCGTCGTTACTAGCAGACACTGTCAGCCAATATCATTCAGATGGCACATGTAAATGGATGGATGTACAAAAAACAAAATATCAGTGTGGGCAGCTAACTGCGGGAACAGTAAGTCCTTTTAATTTTTATTCAAGCCTGTGGGTCCTGTGGGTCAAAACATGTTTTGAATTAATGATTCATGAAACCTTTTTTAGGCCCCTTTTACACGAGCAAATTTTATTCAATATGCCAAATTTGTAAATACATAATTGTAAACTGTTCAGTTGGCTTTCTTGAAAACCTATAGTTGGCCAAATTTTTTATATATCACATGAATAGCTAATTTGTATCAGACTATTAATAAAATCTATTTTCTTTTAATATATTTTAGGTCTTTGGTTTCTTTTCCATAGTAATTTTCATTGTGGATGCCATTATTCATTTTCGATTGTGATAGATTTGGTCTCTGGCCAAATACCACTTTCATGACTTAAGCACAATGTGTGTTTCAATCATTCAATGTCATGTAATTTTTAGTAGATATCGATAATAATATAATTCTAGTAAATTGACATTTGTATAGTCCTTGATTAGAATCATATATTTGTTCATGCGCGGCACTTGGGGCAGAAGTATCATTTGCAGTCGGCAAAACCACTGAGAGCAGAATAATTTGGGCGTGAGTCGAGGAAACCAGAACACATGAAACACTGTGTGACGTCACATGAAGTAAACTGATACAGCAATTTGAAATTCGTTTCGTGTATGATGTGAAATATGAATACGGGCGATCGTATTGATATTAATACTAAACATGTGTCATCGCTGAAAAAAAATATATTTCTGTACCATTACTGATCCATGATCATTCCTTATAGGCCCAAAATGAATTCCCGTTGTCTCGTCCCCGGCCTGCCCCTGCTTCAGGCGACTATATTTGTGTGATCTAAATCTAACAAGACGCCAATTCTGTATAAATAAAGTTAGTTTAGTTTAGGTTTCCTCCTGTATAGTAAAACTGGATCGAGAACATTCTGCATGCAACTGGTTGAAAATCAGTTCACAAGTAGTAATGCAGTTTTTTCTATTGCTCTAATTGTGTAATTTATCAGGCAAACTCATTATTCGTTTTTTGCGGCTAAAGAACAACAAAAAAGTAAACAATAACGATTGTTGTGAAAGCATTGCTTTTTGTTGGGAAGCCTGCGACATATTTCTGGATATCTGCGTCACTGAAGTTGGCCAAGCCAAATGTAATTCTGAGAAATTTAAAACTAAGGTTTTAGGTAAAGGTAGTTTCACATTTAATGGAGATCTCGGAAATAGCAGGGCTATATGAAGTACCTTACACCTTCACTGAAATGACGTCAAATGACGCGCTTTTGCGACATCTTGTCGCGCAAAATGAAAATTTTTGCGGTGCGGCAACCAATGAAAATCAACGTGATTTCTTTTAAAAATATACATGTAAATCTGGGTGATTAATAAGGAGAACGACGGTTACGCTGGCCAAATTAGAGTTGCTAGAAATATTGCTATTTTAAAAGTCGTTATCGGTGAAATATAATGCTGAATATTAAAGCAGAGTTTCCTGTCAATTTATGCGTTCTGGTTATTGTCCATCCTCCCCTAGTTGTCCGACAAACATTTAAATTCCAAAGGTATAACAGTCGACCAAGAGTACTAAGACAGAAACGTTCAGAATCAAAAGTGCTTTTTATTTTAGCGAATTGTTTGCAATCATATAATGAATGTAGATATCAGTGGCAATAAGTGTTTGACGAATCAAGTTAGTTGAATAACATAAACAGAATAATCAAGATGAAACAAGCAGGTGAATACAGGCCGATACTCGCCGAACTAGGAACAATGTTCTTACTTTCACAAATACTAGCAATCTCGGGCTCATAAGCTGGGCACTCTCCACCATTGAGACAGCTGTGGATCACCTTGGCTTGCTTTAAACTAGTAGAGTACCCAGCCTGGCTGTATCCCCAATAATTCTCGCTTGTCGCTTCCCCCGAGAAGAAAAGGTTACCCAGGCGTCCTTGTAAATTATTAAAGTCGGCTGAGGTGGCACCAACCGCAGCATTGCTGAAGGAACCGCGGATGTACGGATTTTGACTAAAACTACCCACGGTCATCTCTAGAGGTAAATAATGATTGACTATGTTATTGATTGACTATGTTATATGGGGATTCAATATTATGGTTAGGCTCCCGCTTCATTGCAACTTTCCACACCAATGTTATTCTCAAGTATATGCCAGAAAAAAAGGAAACCTAAGGTCCTCAGAATACCCGTGTCAGGACTAACGTTAAACATGCTGCCTCCACTTACCTAAAGGTTCTGGAATATTGACGTTGGGATACATTTCTCTCAAAGATTTCATGACCTCAGCTTTTGTCGCATTTTTGCTCTGTGCTTCAATGCGAAGAGAATTCTCATCAACTGCACTGAATAACAACACATTTGAACCACGGTGAAAATCTTTTATGTTAAGGTTATACACGAGAGGAAATGTTTCAGTCAAGGAACCAGCATTCAAAATAAACTCGGTATCATCCCAAAACGCGCTCGGAAACTTCACGTAAATATTGGTGTAATAGGCAAGAGGCAATCTACTTATAGCAACTTTCTTCCATTTCGGTAATTCTGGTTCAAATGTTACCAAATCCGAAGCTAAAACACCTGTGCTGAAAGTACAAAGAGCATATTTTGCCTTGAACGTTTCACCATCTCTCGTCCGAACTTCGATTCCGTTCGAAGTATTCAACTTTATATGCGTTACGACCTTTTCTGTTTTAAATTTACCCGTGATGTTTTGGGATAAATAGTCAATGATACCTTTGAATCCACGATTGTCCGTGATATACTCATTTTCCATGGGAATGCCTCCAAAGTGTCGGAAAGAGGACAGTGCAGGTTTCACAGCATATTCATAATCAAAGTACCACCATTCGGCTGTTCGTTTCAAAGCTGTATCTGGCATCCAGCCGTGTTGGGCAAAAACTGAACTCAATGGCTCGTCCCCACTCAATTGCGCATTGTTCTCGTTTTGCTCAGTGAGTTTCATTCCCAATTTTTCGACGGTTTTATAAGCCTTGCCAAGTTCCTTATTCTGGTGGATAGAGTTCCTGTAGATAAAAAGTTGACATAGACTTTGTCAATTGTCACAACTAATCCAAGTCTCTAGTCTTGCGCATATTTGACTTGACATTCCAGAAGACATCTTGAATGAATTAAGTGAGCTATATTCTGCAAACATGAAGCCTTGGTTTCTTCCTATATTTAGTTATATTTTCACTCGAATAACACACTGACGACTGAACGAGACACACGCCTATTCAATATAAAGATTTTCTTAAACCGATAGAGCTGTTCAATTTAAACAGCAACAACTAGTCTGAATTCCTATCTGAAGAATAGGATCATTGTTGGCATGATTAAGCATAAAGTAAATGTCACGTTACCTCAGAGTGAAATCGCTGATGTTCGTCGAATATCTCGTGAGATTAATTTTATTTGCGATTACCAGAATTGGATTTTCATCTCCATCCTCGACATAATGTACCCAGTTTGCACCATCACCTACTGTCAAACCGCCGATTTTAACCTGCTTCACACGACCACCGACGTAATCTTGTGCTTCGAGGATGAGAAAATTCGTTTGTCCGTTGCTTTGGAGGTAACTTCCCGCAGTGATTCCTGAGATACCAGCTCCTAGGATGAGTACGTCGACCTCAGTAACAGCGAAGCAAACTGTAGGACACGTTAACAAAATGCCGTAAAATACCAGCAAGAAATTGCACCGAACATAAGAAAAAACGCCCATATTTAGTTCATGAGATGATGAAATAACAATCGAACTTAGATACGCCTTTTTTTTGCCGGATTCCGTCGCAAATTAAATATTAATTTTTTGACATATTTAACCAAGGAGCTTGTTACGCCTGTATTCCACCGGGTGTTGAAATACGATCACAGCAATTATATTGTTCTGTTCTGAGTGATTTCAAACTTATTCTTCGCATTTTAGTGCGTCATGAACAAAACACAAAATATTTGCATATTTTGTAGGAATCGAAACATCACCGGGAGGCATAAGCGCACCATTGCGCAAAATAAACAGATCTTCGATCTCGAAACCAGAGCCTGCGATCCATGCCAGGATCTTCATCAGAAGCCAAACACAAACAATATAAGAACAATTCAGCATTGACCAATATCGCTAATGATGCAATATATTCTCTGCTTTTTCTGTTCTTCTATTCTCGAGTTTTTCTGTACGAATAAATAGTGCGTTATAGGTAGATTGCATCGTGGTACCCAGGGCCTCTCTTGGTAGACAGTAATCTGATATGCATAGCATAAATAAGTTATAACCCCAGGACATGTTAGTTGCCGGTGAAATGATTTTGTCATTCGTCAGTGCCTGTCTTGAAACGATCAATCAACAAGACGCCAATTCTGGCGGTAACTGCGTCGCGCCAATCGTTGCATGCAATATTTCCTGTCAATATTTATTCCTTTAGAAAAATGTTTCTTTCTTAGGGTTTCTAGTAAATAGAGCACTTCGTACAGAATATAGGGGTAAAACTGCATTATTGGTGCTAGGCAGACGTAGCTAACGATATACGTGAATAAGACTGAGTTTGGAATCATGTACTCTAGGAATCTGTTTGTACTGAAATTCAATAGGATCGGTCTGGCCGTTTTTACCCTTGAAAGGAAGGTGCGGTGTGATTGAAGAATGGCATAGAATGGCATACAAGGCTTTCATAGCATACAAGGCTTTCATGGCATACAAGGCTTTCATGATTCATGTGATCGTTGTCTCTAAACCCGTTTTAGTGTAGGTTTACCATGATCAGTGTGTGCTAGTGTATCCAGAGTGAGCATATCAAACAAGACAAGACGAGAATCCAGCATTACGATTACCTGTACGTATTTTCTCGAACGACAGACGTCTAGATTAATAGTAGATTTCCTGCACTATCGGCCATGCACAGCGACTCGTGTACGTGTTATTTTATATGACGTGTATCGTGCATGCAGTTTCCTGCTTTTGGTTCGCACGACCCGAGTTCGAATCCTGGTGACAACAAACTTTTTCAATTTTTGTTTCAGTAAAATATTTCTTTTGTGGGGTTATTAGGCTTAGATTACTATTTGAAGTGTGTTTAGCACAAAAATATTTCGATACGAAATCAGACGAGTTCAAAATACGAGTATCTTAGTTGCCTGCGCGGCCAGGAAGACCGGGTCAAAAACGTAAAAAACACGAAAAAAAAACAACAAACAAAACACCAACGGCAATTTTAGACTGCGTTCGCGCAGTGCGCGACGCAGTAATAATCAGTTCAGATTGGTGACATACGGGTTGTACGAAAGCTGGTTAGATTGTTGCTTTTTCAAACGCCTTAAAATTTAGGTATAACATTGATTAAACCACCCTTTAGCAGTCTTGAATTAAGGATTCTTTTTAAAAATTTTAGCTCTAAAGCTGTATTTTTGTGCTTTTCAAGTATTTTTACAACGGTTTTCAAGTATTTTTTCAACTGGGACGTCTGTCTACGTCATCAACGTGGACTCTGTCAGTGGTTCTCTGCCGTGTCTATTCCCGATTGCGTAAGTAAAACCATAGACAATCAAAGAGAAAAATTGAAAGAGAAATATTCACTTTGATTGTGT